TTTAATCCTTATTCAGAAAAAATAAACCGATTAAGTTGCAGCAGTAAAATAGCATGCTTAATGATGCATCTTAAATACCCTTGGAGTAATTCAAAAACATGTTGGAGGGCTTAAGGTTATCAAACCACCATGAGTTGCAGGGAGCTGTGCAGGTGGTATCAGTTCAACACTCTGTAAAGTTTCAGCTATTACCTCCCCCATCTCTCCCCTGATGTGCCCACTGCTAAATATATCCTGCCAGGTCAGGTACTCATCACTGGCATCTCTGCTGGTTAGTCCATCCAGCTGGGCCTGGTCAAGTAAGAACCTGCTACAGCCACACATACGATGAAGCTCCAAGAGGAAATGTAAGTCATAACCCCAAAATAACAGACCTCAGCACATAAAAAAAGACAACAACAAAAGGGTGAGAAAGGGGACAGCTTTCGAGGAGGAGAAGGGCCAATTACTGGGCCTAATGACAAAAGGAAGATAGAAAAAAGGTCAGGAAAAAAGAGAGGGAAAGATGTGCAAAGAAGAGCTGAGAGAGACGCCTGCAGTTATTGACACAGGGTGAATCAGGACGATGGCTGGCTTCCTTAATAAGCTGTCCACAGCCTGTATATGGCTTTGAACAGACATAGAACACCTGGTGTGCCAGGGACAGCCAGACAGCCTCTAATGGCCGTGGAGAAGGGTGGAAGTTTATATTCAGCAGGAGGAAACAAACCATGAACTATCAGCTGTGCTGTCTCATTTGTCTCCAGCCATAGCCAGTTTAAATGTATTTTAAATGTATTTTTATCACTCTTATCAGGTTTTGAAGATTTTTTAAACCGTCACAAATCTACAAAACCTGTTGGATCAGCGTGACTTAATCTGACATTGACTGCTATTAACCATTATTAACATTTCTGTCTTGATTGCTTTTCCCCATCTCTTTGGAAATGTTAGTGAACAAGACACACACTGTATCTGTTCCTATCCACCTCTCCATAATTCTTCCTTTCTTCCAGCTCTCTAATTAGAAGATGGCAGGCCTGTAATGGGACAAAATGACCATGCTGAAAGACTCCCTGCCAAGACAGAAAAGAACATCTTGTCCTGGTTCTGTTATCCTGTTCATATGCTCTCCTTAAGGGGCTCAAAGGCAAGGCTGGAGAGTAAAAGTGTCAGAACAGACAAAAAAGACAAAAGGCTGAAGGGTTACACAGCCGATTTCTGTGTCCTGCACAATACATAAAGAGGAAGCTACAGAGGTGCTGTTGATGATTGAAGATCTTAATGAGACATCAAACAGCATTGTGAATTAGCAGTAATACAACACGAGAAAGCTGCTCAAATCTGAGGTTATGACTCTGGAGCTCTAACAAAGACTTGCAACATGGACAGGTCTCAGTCGAGTCAGGCCCAGTTCATTTGTACAGATCATGATCACTGCCGTTAAAATCTCTCTAAAAGAAATCCACTTGTCACTAAAGAAAACATGGACACCCTTTCAGAAACCTCAAAAAAGGAGGATGAGGTGAAAGTATATCTCTGCTTTGTCATTATTACCTCCACCAAGCAGATTATGTTTTCACCCATGTCTGTTTGTTGTTTTTGTCAGCAGGATTATGCAAAAAGTATAGAACCAATTTGCACAAACCTGGTGGAGGGATGGGTCGTATGCCAGGGAAGAGCCCATTCAATTTCGATGCTGGATCCAGGAATTTTTTAAATCTTTTTCCTTAACATCGTGAGATAAGGCATTTTTCACCACTTCACGCCAATTTGTCAAGAAGCAATTTATGGATATTGATGTAAAAAGACTCAGGCATATTTATAGTGTTGAGATCTATGGGTTTGTACAATTTGGTGCAGATCCATATAATAATCTGGATTTCACAAAACAAGAGTGGGATTGTTTGGCCTTGGCAGAGGTATGGGCTCTACTGAGTGCCATTCTAGTATTTGGCTTGAAAAAGAAGCTTTTTGCCTTCATTCTCTGCAATGCAACAACGCTGTAGCAGTCCTCCATAATGGAGCAGCTGAATGTTATGAAAGCAAAATGAGTCATTGTTGAGTCACATTATTTAGCCTCCTGCAGGTGAAGTACATTGGTCTTACTGTGCTACTGGGAAATAAGATCTTCACTTCTGTGGTATCTGTCAATGAGCATCAGTTGGGATATCATAAGAGGATAAGGTTTCATTTTTCAGTTTGTAGAAATTTTTGGCTTCAGTTCACCTGACAGATAAAAAGCAAAACTAAACTTCCACAAACCAGTCTGCTGTTGATTTATTCTCTGCTGCAGAACTAGGTTCTGTCGATACAAAGAAAAGGTTGGTGCAATATACAACGTATATCTCGGCCCATCTATTTTCACCTATTTATCTGGGTTAGGATACTTTTCATTCATTCAAACCTTTATTTATGCTTGAGAAGTTTTTTGAGGTTGCTCTCATTTACAACGATGTTGAATGAGCAAAAACTGTCGAAAATAATCACACTTTAAAAACAATCAGACACACCTGGAACTCCTCCGCAGGGAGGTGTCTGATAGACATCCCGATCAGATAAGCTACTATTCCGAGCTCCCCTTCCCCCCTAATGGACACACACTCCTCCCTCAAGGAATTGCCATGTTATCAGAGAGAAAGCATTTGTGTGTCCCTGTGACTCTGGGAGGATTTCACATGGACAGTGTCTCAGATGAGCAGCCGGAATATGAGTCAGTCAAAGACGTGGACAAATGAGGCATACGAGGCAACATGGAGCCAAGTGGGCTCACCACCTGTACAGGCAGTTGGGAAGCTCAGATCTCAGCTTTACACTGCAACAGCCATGCTGGTGGCCTGAACATTGTCAAAGGATTTTTTCAGAGGCATACAAAGTGACTTAGTGTTGACAAAAATCCTCAGGGCTTCTATTCTCTGTAAAACACATCAGACTAATTGAATATTTGCACACAATGGCACCACTATCATGCTTCAGCACTGACAGACTCCTCAGGATAAATGTATGAATTTATCATCAGCTAATGACATGTTATTATTCATAGATCAGCTGTGGCCTATCCTTGTTTGTGACAAAACACTGTCTCTCTGTACCTCTGCTTAGTTCTAAGAGATGATATTTTTAATACTCAAACATCTCCCACTTCCCCCTTGGGATCACATTTTCCAAGAACAAGTATAACTTAATTACACAGAGTTTCAAAATTTCCGATAATCCTCCTTCTGTTGGCAGGTTTAACAGAGTGTTATTTCTGAGAGATGCAAAAAGATACTGTTAAATTGTTCTCTGTTTCCTTAAAAAGATGTAAAAAGTTAGTTTAAAGTAAATTTTGTGGAAACTCAAACCCTATAAAGCAGACAGAGCTTTGAGGACACAGCATGTCTGCTTAAGCACAGATGTACTCACCCTTACACTCTGTCCATTTGACCTTTAAGTTCTGAATTTACTCCCCCCTAGTATCCTGTCCGGCCGTTCTTTGCAATCATAAACTCTCTTTTCATCTGCCCTGTCTCCAAAAACACGCACACACCTCGACATACTATAAACGATCTCAAAGATTCTTGTCTTTTGCATCACACCTTTACTCAGTCTGTGATAATCATTACGAGCCAGTCCTCTCATATTGTAAGTTTACCTCTTGCATTCCACTTCCAGTGTACCATCACATCTCTTAAGGGTGATTCTGAACCCGGAAGCAGGCAAATTAATACAACATTCACTACAAATATGAAGGGCATTTACATTATATGCTTCATCAGCCCATGCCCCTCTAAGTAACCATGTCCATTTCATTACACATCCTCTAGCATCTAATGCTACATCCAGTCAAGCACTGCTGCGCACCAACGTGCCAGCAAATATTGAACTTACATCAGTGCAAATGAGATTTTTATAATAAATTATGGATGATTAAAATAAATATTTAAATGATTTTGAGAACTGTTCTTATCTAATCTCAGATGTTTAAGCATTGATTTTATAAAATGGTGCAAGTTACTGCCACTTCTTATCAACTGTAGGTTATCACCACTGCTGTCAGCTGTTGTATCAACATCAGTTCATGGTATATATGTAATTGGGCCTGCTCTCTTGAGCCACCCCTATCCTTTGCTCTGTTTATCTTTTATTCTCTCTGCACATGAGATTCTGGCTCAGTCCTCCCAGATCCTTCACAACCGTGGCAGAACTTATCACTCAGTCCAAGAAAAGAAGAGTTGGACAAACATGAAAGAAGAAAAGAAAAGAAAGAGGGACAGTTGAAAAGTGTAAGAAAAGTTTTTTCTCTTGCTTACCTTTATGAAAACATATAGTCATTACACAGCAATGGAATAAAGGAAAACCAGCGGGAAGCTGTGATAAAATGCATCAGATAGATCACAATATACTTCAACCAAACAGTCTGATAACATTAAATCAACACCTTTTTACTGAATGGGTTTTCAGCAATTCTTCAATAATTTGATTTTAAAACATCCATATAACAATGCTGAATGACAGTTGTCATGTTAAACAGCTGCCATTCTTATCAAGTGAAGATGCTCTGGTGACGGGGGAGGTGTCCACAGGCTAAACTTCTGCGTGCAAATAACAAAAGACATTTCCAGACACGGAAGATGGACTTTGTCTGGGTGTGTGTGTGTGTGTGTGTGTGTGTGTGTGTGTGTGTGTGTGTGTGTGTGTGTGTGTGTGTGTGTGTGTGTGTGTGTGGGTGTGTGTGTGTGTGTGTGGGTGTGTGTGTGTGTGTGTGTGAGCAGGTTACCTGAAGTGGGCGACTTGCTTCTCTCCATGTCAATGGACTGCTGGTTGTCAGAGAGTTCAGTAAGGCCTGCCGCAGCCAATGGCAGCCGAGAAGAAGAAGTAGAATACACAAAGTCTGTCAGATTATTTTAATCTTGTCGGTCGTACAGACTTGGTTGATGTCAGCCACACAGAGCCCAAGNGTGTGTGTGTGTGTGTGTGTGTGTGTGTGGGTGTGTGTGTGTGTGTGTGGGTGTGTGTGTGTGTGTGTGTGAGCAGGTTACCTGAAGTGGGCGACTTGCTTCTCTCCATGTCAATGGACTGCTGGTTGTCAGAGAGTTCAGTAAGGCCTGCCGCAGCCAATGGCAGCCGAGAAGAAGAAGTAGAATACACAAAGTCTGTCAGATTATTTTAATCTTGTCGGTCGTACAGACTTGGTTGATGTCAGCCACACAGAGCCCAAGAAACAATCAGAAAATCCTTGGTCTATCATCTAATAAGTTACATAGTTATTTCCCAGTATTTTATTATTATTTATGAAAGGATGATATTGTATGGACCAAGGTCTTTACTGAAAATCCACCCAGTGGATTTTGAAGAATCCATTTTGTCTCCTAGGAACAGCGTGGCTGAATCCATGTGTTACCTGCACTACAGTCTATTTGATTCTTTGGTTTTGAATTTCCGATGGGTCGGCAATACAATGTAAAAATCACATGAGTGCACAACTACAGAATGTAGTGCATCTTGTGATAAAGTGGCAAATACGATCAGAACACAAAACAGAACAAACATCAAATCTGATCATGCACCAGGCACAGGCCATAATGAAAAGTCATGCTTACTAATTTTTGAAAAAAACAACACAAATGTGGAAATTTCTAATTCTTCTTCCTTCAAGTCTGAGTAGAAATGTGGGGTGTTTAAGACATGTTCATTATGGCTTCATTAACAGCCTCACTGAGTTGTCACAGTTCAAAAAATTCTGATTAATTTAATTATTTCTCTTTAGTCAAAGTTTCCGGCAAAACTTCTTTATGCAAATTTTCCTTCAATCATTTCCAGTGGCCTTACAGATGACTGGCATTAATGGGACTCTGATTAAACCTTTACTGGGGAATAAAATTAATAATTCCTTTGTAATGGTTGACTCAAAGTACACATTATGGTTTCGCTGGGCCCAGTGGATGAACAAGGCTTTATTCACCCCACTAAATATTCTTCAGTTAAAATATACATCAAATGTATCATATAATATTTATAACTGCCCTCACTTAACAGACTCAAAGGAGTGGCACTCTTTCTGCAAAGGACATACTGCTGGACATGACTGGAATAGGCCGGTTTATTTTGTATGGAAAAATACAGATATGATATTCTGCTGTAAGATCAGAAACAACCACTTTCATTCCAATCATCTCTTTGGTTTGTCCCTTTGCTTTCAGCCGACATCATCCCTTCAAAATCTCTATGGCAACCATCTCTATCAATCCTGTTGTCTTAGTATGTCCCACGAAAACACTGCCCCATCTCCCCATCCCTCCCGCACACACACACAGAGCCCCCCCAGCCTTTAGGAAGGCCAGACTTACTCTGATAGGATGTACGGATCCTTTTCTTTGAATCTGAGTAAAAGTTAGACAGGCCACGCATGCAAAACTCTGTCAGGCAGGCCCACATGCCCACATCAGCAGCCACAGAGTCACCAAAAGGTGGGAGGAGGAGGAGGAGGAGGAGAATGAGGGCGAGAGGGAAAGGAGGAGTGGTGGAAAGGATGGAGAGTAGGAGTGTAGGTGGAGATTCAGGGCAAAGAGAAATGAGAGAGGACAAGAAGGTGGGAAAAGAGAGAAAGGTAGAAAAGGTGTATAAGTGGTGTCGGGCAGTAGGTAGAAAGGAGAGAAATGAAAGAAACAAGGTTATGGTGGAAAGTTAAGTATGAGAGGAAGGATGCATGGGGAAGGAATGGAGTTATACCAGTTTAGGATGTAGGGAAGGGAGGGAAGGAAAAAGGAGGGAAGGGGGAGAGAGAAGAACACACAGGCTTAGAGTGGAAAAGAAAATGAGTGCAAGCAGTAACCGAGTTAGTGTCAGGGGAGGACAGACAAGAAATACCCGCTAGTCCTGCAAACCATGGAAACGCTGACGTGATTGGTCATTTGCAAAAGAAGTAAACTACTGTGTTAACAGGGAACATGTGATTACTTACAAAGTAACATCAAACTCTTGCTGTATCAAATAATTTGTTTACATTTCATTTTGTTCATATGCTACTGTATTTGCCATAGACCTACTGTCCTAACATATGAAGGCTGGTGTTAATTACAGTATGTACTACACTACAACTGGACAAACACCCCTAACATGATCAATAACTAAGCATCATTTAATGACATGAATAATAACTACATTTGACTGACAGGTATATATAGAATACACATATGTGTGGTGATAACAGCTAAAAATGTTGTGGAAAGGACAGGAAACTATTTTCTCACAAGTTGGAATATAACAAAAGCAGAAGAGACCAGCGGGCGGCTCTTAGTCTTTTGACTATGTTTTTGAAGTTCGGTCTCAGGCAATATATTAACTCCAGAAAAGCAAGTGCTCAATATCTTACCACCACCACCTGGGGTACAGAAAAAGGGCACAGTTGCCTGTTTTTATTTTTTCTTCCATCATAAAATTGATTTTAAAGACCGGACACAGGAAGACTTTTACAAAAGAGGAAGTTGGTAACGATAAGTGCGGTGGCGGTCAATAAAAGCACTTATGCAACAGCAAATGAAAAGATTTGACTCTAAAGCTCAAAGTCATCCATCCCATCGTCTAACTTAATATTAACCTTCACACAAATCCTGAATACCTGTAAAGCATTTTCAGCCACACAAATTCAGTACTTTAAATTGCTTAAAGGGCCTTAGACATATAAAATCAAATTAAATTGTGCTTTGTACACGATAACTTCTGTGTGGTGGGGTTGAATATTCATACTGTGTGTTAGTATAAATAAGAGGCAGCCTGCGGAGAGACCATCACCAGCCAAGAACAGTAGCAGAAAAAAGGGAGGCAGGGGTCAGGAAGTACAACGAGACCTCTGTGGCTTTTGACTACAGATCTATGCTCAAGCAGGACTAAAAACAGAAAGGACAGAGAAATCAAATGATAACATGCATAAAAATGCCGACGTGGAATGACATACAGCCTGTTAACATGCACTCCATATCATAGTGCAGATCTGTGACAGGCATACTGAGATGGACGAGTGTTTTTGTCTTTGTTTGTCATAGTGTGACAGAAAAGGAGCAAAGAGAAGAGAGGTAGGAAACAGAGTTGGACTGATGCAGGCTTTTGAATGCTGATACAATTACTTCCATTCTTAAATTCAAATAGATGTTGCTGTTGCACTATTTTTGGGATCACACTGGATTTTGTGCCAATAGTCAATGTCTCTTAAATTCACCCTTTTCATATTAACTCAGGCCAAAACACTTCAAAATATTTTTTTTTGTATCAGAGTGGAAAAGCCTCTGATAGATCATTTATGTCTAACAATAAAACTAACCTTAGGCTTAAACCTAACCTAAACCTAGGCTTTTCTCTTTCTTTTCAATCTTTTATTTTAGTATGTGAAAACACTTTGTTCAAGGTACAAATGGCCTAAAAAGAGACAAAAGAAGCATAATATACTTAAATATCAAAGGTAATGTACCTGTTATGTAGAGTTGCCCTTTCAGAGTGTTATATTATTATATATTCTATATTGTATTCAGAGTATTGTGTTCAGATTAAAAATCTTGTAAAATGTACAAATTAAGTATAAATTGATAAATACTATCAGAAAAAACATTCCTCATTAAACATGGAGCAGCAGAATGACCAAGCATTTTAACATTATAGATGATGGAGATAAAGCTAAGTTGAACTATTATATCATTGGCCATAAGTTTACTGTATGCATCATACATGCAAGAATGCATAATATTTTATAGACTCATTATATTCTTGGTATGTAAAATAATGTGTATGCAATCTTTAAAGTAACAAGTTTTTTAGCTGTCAGATAAAAATAGTGGATTAAAAAGTAAAATATTTTTTCTGTGTTTAAGTATAATTTTGCAGAAAACAGAAATACTCAAGTAGAGTTCTGAGGTACATGTTCTACAAGCACCTGAAAAATGTGCTGTACTTGAGTAAAAGTATATTCAGTTACTTCTCACCAACTTTGATTTAGTTAAGAGCTTAACAGCCGTGGTACTGATCAAGTATGCTGGGAATATAATTACACCACCCTCATCTTTGATTTCAGATCATTCATGAACAGATTTGCCTGATTGATCAGTCGAGTCTTAGAAGGAAGTAGAGTTACAGAGGTAAGACACAGAAGAAAAGGAAAAGAGAAACAGTAGAGATAAAAAAAAAGAAGAGGACAGGAGAATAGAAAATAGATGAGACAGTAAGATACAGTAATCTGTATGTAATGACTACACTTTTGGCACCTTTTTGTGTGAGTGCACAGTGAGTATTAGTTGTGTACGTGTATGTGTGTGGCAGGATCCAAGACGTGTGTGTGCTACCTGAGGTGGACTGTCTATTCCGGCGGGGGGAGCGGGTAAGGCGCTGGTAGGGGTCAGCAGCTCCATACAGATCCAGTGTTGACATACACAACAGGATAGTTTTCTGCAAGTAGTCCACTATTGCTAGGCCGTTACAGTTCCCAAACGCCAAACTGGACACACACACACAGACAGCAAGGAGGCACATGCGCACACACACACACACACACACACACACACACACACACACACACACACATATGAATTTAAATGGAGGAGAAAGACATTTTCACTGTTCGCAGATTCATTTCACCAGGTTATTCTCAATATCATTAAAGGTGCAACATGTAGCACAATCGTTCACTGTCAAATTAACTGTGCCATTTTCATATAATTACTTAATCTCACACTGAGTGTCTTTATCTCACAGTTTTAGTGCTGCTGTTTTTGAAAATGAATTCCAGATTTCCAATGAGCCTCTGTACAGCCTCTTGCTTGACTAATCAAAAGAAACTTGCTGGCAGTAATTTTTATATTTATCTGTGTGCAAAAGATGTTCCAGTTGATCTGGCACTGACCAGAATTAGACGATATTCACAACAAATGACTCCATCAGTGGCCTTTCAATTCAGCAATTGACAAATGACAAAATAAGTGAAGCAAAAACATAGATGTAACTCAGTTTTCCGCTGCCCAGTCCATCACTGTTCTCCCACATCCAACAAGCAGATGTCTGGCTCAGTTTATATTACTGTCATGTGGTCAGATGGTTCAGGTTGTGACAACAGCATCCACAGTGTTGTCTCCAATTTGGAAATTTTACCAAGTGAATGGGCTTTTGTCATGTACCCTATGAAAAAAAACGATTTCAAGACAATGATTACCACCCTTCCGGTATAAGTGACATTTAAACATAGTGTGAGCCTTACAGCACAAACAGCAGAGATGAAGAACCACAACATTCAAAGATCAAAATTAGAGGCTCAACAGCTGAAGAAAAGTGATGGACAAAAAAACATGTGTGATCTCTGATATAATGGTCATATAAAGAATGATAGCAACGTTAAACATTTTCCCCCTTTTTAACTTGCAATTTCAGAATATCCAAAGCTTCATTAACTTGACATACATCATGCAGAGACGAGGGTATTCCCACTCAGATGCTACAGCAAAGTGATAAGTTTCTTGAGGTCTCTTTATGCATTATGCGCATTTATAAATGGTACAAAACATTTTTGTAAGACTTGGAATAAACATCATCAAACTAATCCTTTGGTGTAGATGTTCATGCCATGATGAAGATGACCAGAGGAGGCAGCCTTGCGTCTTTGTTGTGACTTTAGTCATGAGAAAAGACATTAATATGTGAGTGATTTATTGTTGTTAAAAATTGTCATGTAGAGTTTTCAGCTTTCATGTCATGTGTTTTTATGTTGATGTTCATTACCATGTTACAATTTGATGTGTTTTTTTGTCTATTATATTATGTGCACTGTCACCACTTGACAGATGTCAGTGTTTTTTGCTTATAACAACAATCGGTATTATGAGTCAAATACGTCATGTACTTTTGTGAAGTACAAAGAAACAGATCTTTTCCTTTTATGTGAGTCAAAATGAGAGTGTGTGTGTTTTCATAAGGATGTGTGATGGAAGCAAAAAAGAATATAACAAAAGAAATCAGTGTAGGCATTTCCATTCAAGCTGTGAATAGCTTCAGTGGAAAGAGGCAAATGTCGGCCCTGCCTTGACCCAAAGAGCTTTTCAAAAACAGGGCTGTGATTTTATTGGTTTCTGCAAACAGAGCTTCTATTCACAGCAAAACCATACAGGTGGTCTTAAATCATTGACCTCAGGAAGTCATTGAATTTCTCTTCCACAGCAATATACCATATTGTAATAATAATATTATTGAAATATATAAAAATGTCAACCATTACTTAAGTCTACATAAGTTACTTTAAGAAATATGACAATAGAGCATGTTATAAAACAAACGAAAGAGGAAAAAAGACAAAAGGTGTCCTTGCACCTCGCTGGTTGTGTTGATACCAACCTGACCTTCACTTAGTGTATTCACTGTTATAGTTATGATCTCAGAAAGAATTGTGTGTTTTTTCTGATTGGTGTTGAATGCCAGGAAAACTCAAACCTACTCGCAGGAAACAGCAAATACTGTTCTAACCTCATGTTCAGGATATATTAACTACTACATATGCATATAATGCACACATTCATTCTGTATGTGTCCTGATACAGAAAAAAACTGACTTTGTTGGGGCGTTCTTCACCTCGAACCTTATCCATCATTTCTGTATGTCAGAACAATTTGAAACAGCTATGGACATGTTGCAACCTTATACAGTTGGTTAACCTGTTTACTAAACTATTTCTATAATAATCCACAATTCTTGGTCTCTCAGGTGTAATTTTGGTGAAGTTTCCACAATCTACTTCTCTTCCAATAATGCTGTTATGACGGCACTGTAAAGCTGAACAATTGTCCATGTACCATTGCACCATGACAATTATAATTCATTTGTGCATACACCTGTAAACTATAACAGAGATTGCTGTCATGAGTGCAGACTAACAAAGACATTGAACTGATTAGTACTATGGATAATTTATGAAAAATGCATGGCTCACAATCCTAATCTAGACAGACAAATGAATAGTCAGATGGAGAGGTAAACAAGCTGACACACACTGTCAAGCATCTGGTGACTTACAGGCCATAGGCAGAGTTGATGTCCAGGCTGGTGATCTGTTGCGGAGGTTCTCCATCTACCCACAGCAGCTGGATGACCAGCTCTGCCTGGTAGCCAGGGGGGACCCGCACCACCCGGTCCTTCACCCTGAGACAGACATACAGTAGAGGAGAGGTTACAGTGAAGCGTAAGCATACGGTACACAGCAAGGAAATGACCAATTTCAGTTGTGTCACCAATATCCTATGAAACATGTCTGCTTCCATCATGACAAGCAACAACAAAAAAAAGATGTAAAAATCAACAGAAGACCGTTCATGTCCAGTGTTTACGTATATAACATTTATCTGTTTATTCATCTTTATATTTATCCACTATTAAATTATTTCTGAAAAGAGGTGGGTCAATGTTCTGTTGTTAGTTGATAGCACGCTGAATATTCCCTGCACACTACAGGACACATCAGTTGATCATATTTGCTTCCATCTGATGTCGTGAACCCACAGTATGATGTGTATGAAGAGGTCTTACTTGAGGCAGGGGATGCTGTCTTTGAGACCCTCTGGTGTTCCGCTGCTTGGGCTTGCTGGGTGCTGGTGGTGGGGTTGTGGTGAGTGGGAGCTGGGCTCTGAGAAGCAGGGATTGTTTTCATTCTCCGATGGAGAGATAACATCCTCCTGCTCACACTGCAGGCGTACTTCTAACGACTGAGGATGACACAGATAGAGAAATATGGATTCATCTTTAGTACCTATAGTACGCTATCATAATAGCGGTCAGTCACATTAACTATACTAACCATGTGACTTCTACAGTGAACTGCAACCACATGCATTCCCGTATAATGCACCAATCCAGCAGGATGCGAACCCTTTTGTGTTGATTCGCATTTCACTCACCACTATCTGAGTGTTGGCATCATATTTGCTGAATCGATACAGGATAATGTGGGCTGAGATGCCAACCACACAGAAGATGCGACTCTGAGGGCACCAGCTGACCATCTGAATAGCAAAGGGGTCTTCCTCCACCAACTCGGCAGCCCGGCCCTCACCGGGCTTTGGCTTCTCGAAGACTTTGGAGGTCTTCAGCTTGTACAACATCTGCAGTGTGACTGGTTAGAGAAATTTTGGTGAAAATATTGTTAATGCCAAACATACTATAAATGGCAACATGCGTACACTGAGAAAACTGACACTGCCAGTCGTGGATACCCAATGAAGAAATAGGTTTCCTAGAGCAGCAGTATGGTATTATTGTATTGTTTTTGGATGACAGATGGGGAGTTTTGTGGCATGAGTGGATGAGCTTTATTGAATGATGTCTACACAAACTTGGTCATAAGATAAATTACTTCTTGGTTTTGGTCTTTTGGTGAATCATTTTCACCATGCACATCTGTAATTGGCACAGCTGTATAAAAGGCATTAGATAAGTAATGAGACTAAGAGGAAAGTGTTTATTATAACAATTCTCTGATTTATATTACATTTCCCCCTCATATGTCACACAAACCTGTGCTGTGCCTTTAAGAAGAAAAATAGCAAAAGTGTTTCAAAATGCCCTTCCTGTTTGTGCACAGTTAACTTTAAGGATTTATTGATCCAAGATGGTTGTGGCTATTTCATGGCAAAAAGTAAAAAAAAAAAGATTTCATATGTCGTTGTGTGAATACCAACATATTACTTTACATCTATGAATATATTGTGTTCTAATATATTAATATCACATAACTTTAGTATGTTAGCAAAACTAGCATGCCAAGATACGATAGCTGTAGGCTGGGATGGTTAGTCAGAACACAGTTAGGTTCAGTTAGGGTTAGGCTGGGATAAGCTAGTCCCACTAGCAATCAATTTATATTAAGAAAGTAATGCCAAATATGATGCAACCTAAGTAAAAGTCTTTGATATTTTAAGAAAATCACACATTTACATTCAGGTTTTTTTAGGGTGTAGCCATCTGTGAAAATGACAAAGGCCGATGTGCCTAATTTATTGTGGAGCATCTCATATCACCATGGTGCAATTGATTTGCTTTGAGGTCAGAGCCCGTGGCAAATCTGAAATGACTTATCGTGGAATTCATGAAAATACAGTACACTGTTTATCATAGCATGCTGTGTAAAAAAAAGCCTGAGTTGAACAAAATATATCACTTCATTATAGGCCAGAGACAATGAGAAAGAAAGAATAAAGAGTTTAGAGAGAAGACTTACTTGCAGATGCGTCCCAAAACTTAATTGACCCGTCTGCATGTCTGAGCAAAGAGAAAGAAGATTTTTCTTTAGTCTTTTGGGCAGTGTTAGTGTAAGAACTCTAAAGCCCTGTTCAGACCTGGCATTACCATTCATCTTGGGTGATCTGATCACAAGTGGAAAACTCTAAATATGCCAGTTCACACGAAGCATTGAAATGCATCTCTACACGTCTCAAGTGACCACTTGTGATCGGATCTCACTTCCTCACTTTATATGCAAATAAACATGCATTGTTATTTTTAGTGTCATGTTAGTTGTCAGTGTGTTTGTATGTGTGTGTGTGTGAGAGAGAGAGGGAGAGAGAGAGAGAGAGAGAGAGAGAGAGAAAGAGAGGAGGAGAAGCAGTAATCATTGCACTGCTCACAGCTCTACATTGAAATAAGGTTTTCGCCATTCGAAATAGTAAACTATTTTTGGTTCATTCTAAAACTGTGGTGGGACTAATTAGTATGTAGCAGAGGACATCAGTTGAGTAGGTGGTCCTTCAGTGTGGCCCAGGATTCATTTGCGGTCACACTGCTAAAAAGAATGTGAGCACATGTGGCACAGGCCACCTCTGAATGTGGCCTGAGTGATCGGATCTCAAATGCATCCTCAATGTGTCTTGGGTGTGTTCACACCTGTACTTACAACTGTCCACTTGTGATCGGAGCACCTGAGACACATGTTAATACCAAGTCTGAACAGGGAGGATTAAAGGAAAACATAGGCACGTATTTCAGCTATCTTAGAAGTTATCTTAAAAGCCTGGCAGTTAAATGTTAGACTGTGTAGGAATCTATGCAGGACCTCTGGGACAATAGAAACACTATTAACAAAGAATTTTTCATACTCTGTAGTACAGTGAAAACATCTTTATATAGGCCTCATGTAGTTGGATTGCTGCTGAAATCTGTAAGTGTTACCCAGAGGCAGACACCACCCAGTGTGCATGCCTCAGAACAGGTTAACATCTCTGCCAACCCCATACATTACAGCATGGCCCCAGGCTGCTCTGTGCTGACTGTGCTGAGGTTGGCACAGATCCAAATCAAACTTATAAACACAAAATATGAATTGCAGTCAGCTGGTCCTGTCACGGTGTGAGTGAAGACATACTGTAAATGCAGAATTGTGACGGATGCTTGGTAGATTATATTTTCTCCAGAAACTTGGGTTAATGGTTCACAAGTATTTGGACTTTTTTTTCTGTCTGTACCTTCAAAATATTTCTGTCAGTATTTCTGGCTTACCCTGTGATGATGATCTCTGGGTAGGTGTGAGAGCCTAACGTCCATGTTCCTCCACTGACTGGCCACTCCTGATATGGTTACAGACAGAGACTGTTGATTATTTTTAAAACCACATTACATCATCTTTTGTTTTCCTCTCCCTGGGCTCTATTCAGAAGATTTCATTTTATTCCAGAACACACAAAAATCCTATTGGACAGAAGCTGGATTTTCTTAAATGTTGAATAACATTCACTTTGCAGTTTAATGTTAGTAACCTTGAGAGACCAGAAGAATACGAAATGTTTTCTTTCTTATCAAAGTACCAAAGCAGTGGGGGTGCACAGGCAGACCTTTATACAAGCACCATTATTATATTATATTATAATATCTGTCAACAATGTACAGGGAAGTTGTTTATCTTTTTTTATTCAAACCTTTGCAATATGCTCAAATATCTTAAAAATAATTAATGATCAAACAAGATCGAACCTGGCAAAAAAGGCAAATATTCCAAAACACACAATAATGTGTGTGAGTGGTATTCCTCCCTTATATTTCCCCTTCCCTACCTTTTGGCTGTAGCCGGTCTTCTTGTGTTTAGCTCCTATAGAGTAGAGGATGGGGATAATGTCAGGTGGACACTCTGCAAAATAGGCTGTGCAGGTTACTGGAGACTCATGGACGTCCATGGGATAAGGGTTCTCAAAAACAGGGAAGCTGCAAGATACATGGCAGAAGAGGCAGAAAAGAAAGTTGATGTTATCATGAAATAACAGCAAAGAGATAACAGAACATTTGATGTATAGTGGATTGTTTTTAATTTGATAAAACCTGAAAAATAACCAATTGGGGTCACATATTTTTTTAAATCTCTTAGTATAAAATTCATCAAACATTAAACACTGATTTACAGGGTCAGCATGACTAAAAGGTATGACATTTTGCAATATCATCTCTTTACATATCCTCTGCTTTATCTGCTTTGTCATGAGGTTGCAGGTGAGGTAAAAATAGCACAGCTATGAGCTTGCATGAAAATATGGCTGTGCTACTGCAATACTACTTCAATCACATAAATGACATAACAAATACCAAACCTAGACACTAAACTTTATACTTTATGAATATTAGTGTGAAGATACGTGCTATAAACTAGCAATTGTATTAACTGTCAAATCTACAAGCTCTAGGTGCATGCCACTCACTAACATCTAATGAACATCTTAAACATAATTAACAGCTAATCAATGAGCTGGCATGGTACACAATCTGGACATATTATCAGAGGATATTTCTATCTAACAACTTTAATTAGGTAACCTGATTAACTAAATGACCTAATTTATACACAAGTGCCATTCAAATGTATTCCCTAGCGTTAGGTGATCTGTCAAACCTGCACAACATATCACCTTTGACCTTCATCTTAATTTCTTTCAGTAGAGATAATAAATTAATCTAACTGAAGTGATAGCATTAGCACCATGATAGCCATGAAGTGGCATGACAACATCTAACCTCTGTTTCTCCCTGAAGTATAGATATGAATGACACCGATTAGTCTGTTCACCCTTTCATTTTGTTGCAGACTATGACAGGATTTGGCTTATGGATGAAAGGTTTATATTGTGTTTTCCCTGAAGTGATACCGGGCCATATCATCTCATGAGATAATATCACTATCATTTCATTATCAGTCACATGTAGCTTAGCTGCTGGAAGGTGGTTGTGAAACACATACTTGCTCTGTGTCAGATCCACCACAATCAAGTCCTTCTCCAGAAGCACCACCACTGCATAAGGTTCCTGGACCTCTGTAAGATACGAAACCAAAATAAAAAGGGTAATGCTTAATCCATATTTACATCAATCACAACCTCACATTTGAATAGTCTTCTTTGGGTTATATATTATCTACTGCACTCTTTATGGCACTCAAGAAAAAAATTCTACCCAAAAACTCAACTTTGTGCTCTTAATATAATCAATTTTTACATTTGTTGGTCGATTGTACTGCTGACTAAATTGAAGTGACACATATGAGAGGATCACAGAAAAGTATAAACCAAATTTTGAAAAGACTAGGGTGTTTGATTTGAAGACATTTCCAGAATCCTTCATCCTGCAGTAGTGAAAAAATATTCCACCTGCTGCACAACAAACGAATATTATTTAAAATCATCTACAGATGGGGCAGAAGAGTCTTCGAGGAATGTCCTCAAAAGCAATAAATCTTGTCATACGACCTGGTGAGTTTGACAACTAGTCGAAGTTTTAAGGACTGAGGGATACCACAAAATGGAGGTAACTTCAATCACAGAAAATAACACCTTCTCTAGAATTCACATTTGTGTTCTTTTAACCAGATGCCTGCTGATTTGTGACTTTTTAGTCTTTGGTTTGTGTTTTGATTCTATCAAAGTAATCTTCCATTCCCAAATTCCATAAGATTCCATTTCATTAGTATGGCAGCAAAAAAGTCTGAGGTGTGTGTGTCAAAACTAAATCTTTCTGCGGAAACCACTGAGCAGAACCCAGAACATATGTGACACCGGTTTTGTCATTGTCATTGTATGCACTTACCGTTGTTGTAAGGAGTATCGCAGAGCACCATGAACTCTACAATAGGATAGTCCATCTCAAGCACAGTGATGGCTTTGCCGTGCATGATGGTTAATGTTGGTCGTCGTCCAGCCTTATCATACGAAAGGCCACCAGAGAAGACAACAAAAGGCTCACTGTTGTGGAGGGAGAACAGGGCTTTAGGAAGTGTTTCTCTGAGTCTGATCAATGCTAGTAGCTGAAACTGCCTGGGCAATGATCAAATAAATGAAAGAACGAATTCATAAATCAATAAAATCGGTCAGTTAAATTATTTATAAGACTTATATGGCTTTCAATCTGTTTATAAGCCACTTATGATAAGCCACTGACAAAATAAAATAAAAATAGAGAAAAAAATAAACGATGTTCATTCTCAGGGCCATGAAGAGGTAGCTCACCAAATGAATGAAATAACTCAATGGATGAATCTTTACCTAGGCGTCTGTGTGTGTGTGTGTGTGTGTGTGTGTGTGTGTACGTGTGTGCACGTGCTGGGCGTGGCTTCTTCATTACTGCTCCTTCCAATTCTCCTACGCCCCCTTGCCTCATCACCTCATCACAGGCTGCTGCAGTGTATATACAGTATATCCTGGCTCTTCACGCCATTCACGCCGAAAGGCTGTTCACCTTACAGCAGCGCTGCGGCTAAATTCTCAGTCTCATCATGTGAGTTCATTTCTAGTTGTTTCCTGAACCCTGTTTAAATTACTGTCTGCCTGTGCCTCTGGTTCGTCACTGCCTGCCTCCGTGTGCTCCTGCATTACCCAGCACGCTCTGCCATTGTCTGCAAACCTGGCTTCTCTTCCCTGTACACTGTCTGCCCTGCCACCTTCCACTACTCTACTAATCTTCAGGCTGAAATAAAAAGATTCCACAGTGAAGTGAACTGAAGCTGCACTAATTACAGATGTATAGATGTTAAGTGTTTCATTATCTTTGTACTTGTACTCCAGGAGTTATGCTAGTGTGCTGTTTCCATGCACATACTAGAGTTTAAAAGCACAGTGTATTCTGTGTAATCACTCAATCATTCCCCACACATAACTGCTCATGCTTCTGTTGGTGGCTTATGATTATCACCAGCTAGACTACCATAAACAACTCCCGTTAATCCACTACATTATAAAATAACCACAGGATGAAGAATAACTTCATAAGATTTGTCATAATTGCGTTCAAATCACAATTTATAGTCATCAGAAAAAGTGAATGAAATTTGGATCTGAATGTTTGTTTATAAAACACACACCTGTTCCTTGAGGTCTTGTACTCCACTTTGAGTATGGGTTTACATGACTCCTTCCTCCCATCCTTCTGTATCTTTCCTGAAGAGAAAAGAGCAGAAAAAAATGTACAATATTTAAACACAATATTACAGTTTACTGTAAAAATCTCGATGTCTTTTTCATCCTCTCAGCTCTTCTATAACCAATGCACATTTCAAGCAGTCTATCAGCTTACTTTTTGTGCATTATTTGACTCGAGTCAGTTCCTTTTCTGTGTGACAATTCAATTTACTTATGATAAGCACATAGGCGGAAAATGGGAAACTTTGCATTTGTCTGCAACTGTTATTGTGTGTTCTGCTAATCTTTTTTTCTCCATTTCAGGCTATTCATTATATTCAGCATAACTACTTCAATAGCTTTATTCAAAGGACGAATGCACAACTCCAGGCTCACAACCCTATCCTCCACAGCTGTAATCATAAAGTTATATTAGAGACTAATATGTCTCATTACAAAAGCGACCATGACATAGTTCCACAACAGCTCTACTCGGAAAAAAAATGGTTTTGTTCCCATCCCTGCTTCACTTTCTGATTACTGTTTTTCTTTTCTACTGTTGTTCTTTTCAAGGAAGGGCAGAGTGGAAGACTCATCAGAGTTAGAGCATTAAAGAGTTTATTTTCCACCTGATTCACATAATGAAATGATTTGCCTTTGATATAAAGAGAACGTCCCTTAGCTGGAAGACTGTGGGACCTTGGGTTTTACCTAAAGGACATAATGCAGCAAACAAACCCCCAGTACTTTCTGAAAACATAAAAGAAACTATACTAACTATAGTTTTTCTGTCACTGCTTTTATGAACTGGAATATGGCAATTTCAATTATAGTCCTCATGCTACATGCATCATATATCTATGCTGAACTTCCTCTTTACTTCTCAATACAATGGAAAGTAGATGTGAAAAAACATGATGTAACATCAACATGTACATTATGTAAATGAACCAACTCACTGTTTTAATCACACCCTCACCCACCATATTCTGACAGGAACATTTAACAGTATTTCCCCCAAACCCTTTTTTGGCTGGCCATTTTTCATTAACGAGTTCACAGAAATGGATTACAAAGCTTTTGGGAAAAAATTCCATTACAGCAGGTGTCTATCTGATAATGCTTTAACTAAATTTAAAGAAATCCCATTGTTATTTAGTCCACTGCCACGTGTCAATACAATGGAGGACAGCTATCTCAACTTTACACCCACATAATTTGACGATCTTGTTGATAGTGCTGCAGCCTCACTGTGTGCAACACTTGACGCTGTTGCCCCTCTCAAAAAGAAGGTAGTGAATCAGAGGAGTCTAGCTCCCTGGTACAATTCACAAAACCGTTCTCTAAAGCCAAGCTTCACAAAAGCTAGAAAGGAAGTGGCGTTCCACCAATCTAGAAGAATTTCATTACTAAACACACAAAAAAGCCCCCTATAATGCCAGAACCTCTTATTATTTATCATTAATAGGATAAAATGAGAACAACCCCACATATCTCTTTAGCACTGTAGCCAAGGAGACACAGTCATAGCTCTATTGAGCCGTCTATTCCTTCAACTCTCAGTAGTAATGACTTTACAAGCTTCTTTGAGCCGTCTATTCCTTCAACTCTCAGTAGTAATGACTTTACAAGCTTCTTTAAAAATAAAATTGTAACCGAGAACTGATACAGACATTCTATTGTCCAGTACAGTAGCCCTGCAATCAACTGTAACACCAGATTTATATTTAGACAGCTTCTCTCCTGTAGATCTCTCTGAGCTAACTTCAACAGTTTATGCATCAAAAACATCAACTTGTCTTCTAGACCTCATTTCAACTAGGCTGTTCAAGGATATTTTTCCATTAATCAACTCTTCTATATTAGATCTGATCAGTGTATCTTTATTAACAGGCTATGTACCACAGGCTTTTAATGTTTCAGTAATTAAACCTCTACTTAAAAAGCCTAGTCTTGATCCAGATGTTTTAGACAATTACAGACTCATATCCAACCTCCCCTTTATTTCTAAAATCCTCAAAAAAGTTGCAAACCAGTTATGTGATTATTTGCATAGGAATGCTATGCTTGAAAATGTTCAATTTTAAATCACGATTTAGAGTCCATCATAGCACAGAAACAGCTCCGGTGAAAATTATCAATGATCTTCTCATAGCCTCAGACAGCGGTCTCTACACTTGTCTTATTAGATCTTAGTGCTGCATTTGATGCCATTGATCACAAGATTTTATTACAGAGACTGCAACATTTCATTGGGATTAAAGGAACCGCACTAGGCCTGTTCAAGTCATACTTATCAGATAGATTCCAGTTTGTTCATGTTAATAAAGACTCTTCCATGCACACAAAAGTTAGTTATGGAGTTCCACAGGCTTCTGTGCTAATAATGATACTTTTCACCCTATATATACTTCCTTTAGGCAATATTATCAGGAAGCACCACATACATTTCCACTGTTACACAGATGACACCCAGCAGTATTTATTGAGTTATTGTACATCCTCAGAAATACATTATCTGACAATATAGTTACTTTGGATGCCATTACCTTGGCCTCCATGCCTACATTAAGAAAAGTCATTTTTGACCATGACATTTCCTTGATGTCACACATAGAACAAGTCTCTTCTTCCACCTGCGCAATATTGCAATAACTACAAGTTTCCTGTCTCAATAGCTGAAAAACTAGTCCATGCATTTGTTACCTCCAAACAGGACTACTGTAATTCTTTATTATCAGGATGTCCCAATAACTCTGTGAAAAGCCTCTGGCTGATTCAAAATACCGCAGCACAAGTACTGAAAGGAACAAGGAAAAGAGATGATATCTCTCCTGTGTTGGCTTCTCTGCACTGGTTCCCTATAAAATCCAGACTAGAATTCAAAATCCTTCTCTTTACATACAAAGCCCTTAATGACCAACCTCCAATGTATCGTACGGAGCTCTAGTGACATCCACTCTCAAAATGCAAAATCCTGTCCTGTGGAACCAGCTCCCAGTTTGGGTTGAGGTCGGCACCCTCTCTACATTTAAGATTAGGCTTAAAACTTTCCTCCTTGATAAAGCTTATAGTTAGGGCAGGCTCAGGTGAGCCCTACACCAACAGTTACGCTGCTATAGGCCTAGACCGCTACTACATGTCGTTAACTTCATATTTTCTCTCTCCTCATTTGCAAGAATCCCTGCCTGTCTCTATCTCTGACTGTATATGTATCTATTAAATCAATCCAAAACAGTGCTGTTGCAGATTTATTGTCGTGATGAAAATCAACTTTCAAATGTCTCTAAAAGCTTATAATACAAAATAGTAATGCAGGCTGCTGGATGAATGCTGTGGCTAATGGCTTTGAAGTGCCTTTGCCAGTGTTGTTACTGAAATATGCAGAGGTAATACAATTATTTTATGTTGTTGGTGAAGATCTCCCCTCCAGCATGTTGGGCAGCAGGCCTCCAGTCTTCCTCTAGCTTACATCACAACATCTGAGCACAACCAGTGACCGCAGTGTCCAGCAAGTGAAGCATAAAGCAAAAACAAATGAGACGATACAAAGTCAATGTGTGCATGAAGGCATTTAGAGCACAGAAGTGATGGGTGTCATAGCGTGACGCTTGACTTGCAATGTGCTGTCAGAATTAGTTCATTTATTTATTAATAGAACGGAGGGAGCACGCTGTTCACTCTTCTGTTTTCAGAGCCTAAATTCACCTCTATTCATTCTCAGCTCCCTCTATCACATTCCTTCCCCTTCATTTCACTCTCACCCTGTGTAATACGTAGTATCTGACAAATATCTGGCACATAAACTATCTGCTGGAATTTAACCATGTTTAGAGGCCTGCTGCCCTGTCCCTAACATTCATCGCCCACGTCCTTCCCTCTTGCCTTCCTGTTTTGTGATTTTGCCTGAGACCACAGATAACAAGTCACAGTGAGGAACTATTCGTCACCAGAGATCTGACAACATAACCGTGCCCTGCCAATACACAACCCGCACCAGAGTGGGAAAGAAACAGAAGGAAAACTAGTCAGAGGAAGACTACTTAGTATTACATATGGCGTAGAAATCATTCAACCCAGCATTCTCATGTGACATGGCAATGACTCGCAACACATATTACAGTGACTTTCAGATTTGCTTTGTCACATTTGTAAATGTGCTGATACTTGACAATGAGCTTGGTTTGAGTAATACTCTACACAGCCAGTTGCGTTGTGCAACAATCCCTTGAAAACCAGGAGTGGCCCAAGAAATTTGATGACAATGTTTATTTAATTATGATGCATCCCAAAGAGACAAATCCCTTTCTTTTACTATTCTAAGCGGCTCACAGAGGTGAGGTAGCACTTAAAGGTATATCAACTGTATCTGTTCTATGTCTAAACAATGTCACTGAAATAGTTTTGCACACTGTAATACTCACAATGCCATATGATATGATTTTGGATAAAATTGATTTTGTTTTAGTTTAAAGGTTTAACCATTTTTACACTCACATAAATACAAACATTTGCAATTCTACAACTCAGAACTAAAATAAACAAAAAGATACAGTTCCTTTATGGCCACATGCTCTATAACTGTTTGAAACTCACCCCATCAACCTGTAAAACATTAATTAATTCTAAAATTAATCCAACAAATTAGAGGTTTATCCTCATTTGCAGTGTGTTCTATTTCTGTCATCAATATTAGATAACAACTCAAAGACCCAGTTTTCCTAGCTTGGGAATATCAAAACCTAATTTTATTTAGTAATTAAAAAAACCGTAATGTGTGGGTGTGCATCTTACCGTGAGGGAAGGTGACCTGGAATGGCTTGGTGGTGTTTCTGAGGTTCCACAGTGTCAGACTGCCGTCTGAGTGACTGCACATGAACTGCTTCCCTTCATGATGCCAGCTGACTGAGTGGATGGCCTGTACCATTGATAGAAAGAGAGCAGATATTTTACAAACATGTCTTATATACTGTATGTCAAAATGTTTAAGATTAGTTTGCAATGTTTCAGAATCTGTCTGTATTTCAATTATGAGACAAAGGTAAGAAAGAAATGAACATTTTTTTCAAAGAATGTTTGTAATTCATGTCTCCATCTAAATATAATAACAAACTAGAATTGCAGCCTCGTGGTTTTTCTGCCACAGCCACTTAGACAGATTACATCCCTGTCTATCCAAAGTCATATAAAATGTTAACGATTTGTGTGAAGTTTTCTCATAATTGCTGTGTGAAGTCTTGAGTTATGACTAAAAAGTGTTTAGTGCGGTCAAACTGACCTTGACCTTTGACCACCAAAATCTAATCAGTTCATTCTTGAGTCCCAGTGGACATTTGTTCCAAATGTGAAGGGATTCCCTTGAAGAGTTCTCGAGATATCGTGTTCACATGGGCAAAACCATGTTTCGTGAGGTCACAACAACCTTGACCTTTAACCTTTAGCCACTAAAATCTAATCAGTTAATCCTTGCATCCTAGCAAATGTCTGTGCTAAATTTGAAGAAGTCCCACCAAGGCATTACTGAGATATCACGTCCACGAGAATGGGACGGATGGACGGATAACCCAAAAACAAAATGCCTCTGGCTATGGCTGTTGCTGGTGCGGAGGGATAAAAATGCACTTGACACTATGCTTATGTACACTGCTACAAAAGCTGCTGTTCATCTGACAGCTCTGGACCACAATCCCATTTTTACTGCATGTAGCACAAAATGTGTGTATCTGCGGGGCTTTGATGGGGATGTTAATTTATTTCTCTATGTTAGCTTTACAGCTTTCACTCCCATGCTGCTTAGTGATGGGTGAGCTGACACACCTCAGCCATGCAAGTGAAGAAGTGACACGTTCAAGACAAAACAACACCTGACAAAGCAGTAATGAAGCCCAGAGCACAAGTCCACCTTCCTTTTGTTGCTATGCATTCACATATGTTTTAAGCCCTCAATCTACCCACTACATGAAATGTCAAACAGCCTTGTCCACTTGACTAATCATTTAAAACAGGCTTACTTGATGATCCACCTTTTCTGTCACTTCAGTGTTGTCTCAATGCTTTACCACACCAAAACCCACCACTGTCATACAAGAGGGATGACCCAGGCCAAGTTTGGAGAGGTCATTGAGAGATGTGACACAGAAAACAAGACACAACTGTGATGATCTTCACTGCCACTGAAGCACACTACAGGAATGGAAACCACACGAGAACCTAATAGCATTTGGAAATGGAGTGCAATATTAATGCATGGCCTCTGTTTATGCCAGAATATGTCTGTAGCTCTGCATAATGAAACCAGTCAACCATATGAATACTTTGAACATATCTTGGCCAGTTATAATTGCCACTATAATAGTGTATTTCTTGCCCTTTTAACATACATTGTACCTTGGCAATTTGCAATCTGCAATCTAATGTCACAAAACATTTGAAAGATATTTCTTTTGAGATATAGCCTTACATATCTTCTAAATTAATCTTTCCTCATTTGCACTTGCAGTATTGGACAAATGGGATACAGCCTAGGTCACGTTTTCTCAGGAAAGCAGGAGAGTTTTAATGTGTCTCACATTTTCTTTCACATAAGGTTAAAGGTCAGCAGAAATTTCCATTGGAGCTTTGTTCTAATTAGCTAGAGTAGAGTAATAATTCTTCTCGGACAAATGGGACAATTATTTGGGTTAATTAAAGTACATGGAACATTCACATAAGTTTAAAAAGGTCATAGCCTGCGTAAACCTTCCATAACTAAGCTACAAGAGTTTCTACTTACAGTTGGTTTCCTTCACATAATTCAGGATTTAACTACAAGAGCACAAGTATAAGGCTTTTCAGTTACATCAGTAAGAGCAGCTGTAATTCAGTACTTCCGTCTTTGTCTTTGTGAGATTTAAGTGGTGGAGTTTTTTTTGCAATCAGCTGAAGAGGTGTAAGACAGAGTTGCTGGAGGTGATGCACAGGAGACCACCTTAATGAATGTGAGCAGGTGACTCGTCACAGGAGATGAGACATGGCAGCGGATATCGAGGATCAGTGCTATGAGGTGAAAATGGGTCTGAGGCCACAGAGGTTAAAAAAAACAAATTAAATAAGACTGATGTATGTGTTTGAGAGTGTTTGTGTATGTGTGTGCACGTAATGGAAATACTGTATGTGGTAAATTAGACCAATCTGAAGCTATTCGATAAAAACATGTTTTTTGTAGTTTAAGATGTGCACTCGAAGATGAGTTGTATAGCTAATAATGGGAAGAGCAGGCGGTTCAGACATTTGCTCATCTTCATCCAAGCTGTATTTTTGGCAACTGCTAAAAAAAAATGGAATGGTATACTACACACTATGTTAGACCAAACCAAACATCTCAGACATGAAAAATACCCTCTTATGTTAAGTTACACGGCTTACTGCTAAATGACAACAGACACTATAGTTTTCACCTGTTTCAGCCGACAGTTCTGTGTGAGCTGTGAGAGGCAGTCTGGACTGGTATGAACATGCCTGGGTCCTCCAATTACTGACTCCTATTCAATTAGCAATAATTGGATGCAGGCAAACAGCTAGTGAAATAGAGCACTTGAGGACAAAGCCACCTTGTTGAAAATAAAAAAAGTTGATGCTGATCAAAGACGAAAACATTTTGTCGAGGTACAAAGTATTGGCAAAGAAAAAGGTTAATCTAAGTGATGGGAGAAAGGTGAAAAGATCATGGAGACTCTTAAAGGGATAGTTTGGGTTTTTTGAAGCAGGGTTGCATAGTCAGTGCAGTATGTTCGGATCAGCGTGCTGCCAGTTATAAGAGGCCAATGGGCCGAGAGCCCCGGGACAGAAGCAGAGCTATGTGCAACTGTGCACTGGGCCAGTAAAAAAGAACTCTTTTAGACACTTTTCAAAGACGCCCACCGAAACCATCCTATATCTGTTTAAATGTACGCTTCATTTAGAATATTTTCAGCACTTTATATTCCAGTCAAAACAAAGTGAAGTTTAGCTCTTTCTGATTCACTCAGCCTACCTGTGGTTTTGGCATTATACAGTGTGCTGTAGGTGCGCTTGTGTGTAGGAATACGGTAGTTCAGCGGTTGTGAAAAATGTAGTACCAAAGCAAAGTGCTGTTTTGACAGGAACATGACACGCTGAAAGAATTCTACAGGAAGCGTACATTTAAACAGATATTGGACTGTTTCTGTGGGCGTTTTTAAACGTGTCTAAAACACATTTTTTCTGCTGGCCCTGTGCACAGTAACACATCATTCTGCTAGTGTAGCATGTTCGCAGCTGCCTCTCCTAAGTGGCAGCCGCTGATCCAAATCTACTGCAGGTAATACACTGGCTATGCATGACCACCTCATACAACCTCACGTTAAATATATATAATAAAGATCAGGTCTATGTGTGATTCAGAAAAGATCAGTGGAGCAGAGGAGCAGAATCACTCGTTGAATGGCACAAAAAAAGTTGCTTCTGGACTGAGAAGCCAGGCTACTGCTCGCATGACAGAGTCTAATTCAAACTCGTTCCGTTGTCTGACAACAGAAAGTGAAAAACATGTAAATGAGAACAGCTTTATTGAAAATTGAACTGTATTAAAATACTGTGTATGAGCGGTTTTGAAGCTCAGAGTGGGTTGTTTCGCCGCCGCCATCTCACCAGTACCTAACCCCGCCAAACTCCCTGCTAATCCAAAAATAGGCAGATGAGGGGCGTGTGTGGAGCTGAGACTTCGGTGAATGCCGGCTTGTGGCAAACACACGCTCACCCAAATATCACTCAAAGGGCCACGCCCTTAATTATGTAGAACTGTAAGCATTAATATTAGTGAGTAATATAACACGTTTATTTCTGCTGTAAAGTTGGGCATTTTAACATGGGAGCCAATGGGAATGACTGGCTTTTGCAGCCAGCCTCAAGTGGCCGTTTGAAGAACTGCAGTTTTTCATATTTCTGTGTTGGCTTCATTTTTCGGCCTCGGAGGTTGCCGCTTGATTCTGATATAACTGATGCTGTAGCAGCAACTATGCTAACCTCTTTAGGAGCCGCCATTGTTGCTAACAACAATAGCTTCTTCCTGTTGTAACACCCAAGACCCACCCGTAGCTGCCAGTAGATCCTCCCTCATAGGATGCTGATTGAAGCAAATAGCTTGGAGCCTGGTAAGATGGATTCCTTTCCAGCAGCCTCACAAGGTAAGGTGTCATGGAAGGCTTGTAAATTTCTACTAACATCAATCATGCACCACCCTCTGTGTGAACATAACTCATTTTTGTTACAATTCCCTGCTCTCCACCACTCAAAATTATACCACATACTGTATATCCTATTTCCTGCTGCTATGAAAAGGCATCCCCATGGAGAACAGTGAAAAAAGTGAAAATTCATTAATATTATAATCCAAGGAAGACTGAAAGTGTCTGAAAATGCCCCCTTTAATATCAGAGTAACACATTGCCTATGAAAGACTAAAACAAAACTGTTTCTCCTGACAGCTCTTTCGCTTCAGTTGTTGAGTTTCTTGATACAGCAGTGCACAGTGGAGCTCACCTCATCATAGTAGATTCTGAAGTCGGCCCTCTTGGCCCGGAGGTCCCACTGTACGATCGTCCCGCTCTCAAACCCTATGAGCAGCTGTAGAGGGGAATGACAAGGAATGGTAAATAAAGAAGTGATGAGAGATATAAGAGCAGAGCATGCATCAACAGTACCAATGCAATTTATGTAATTGCACTCTTTGCTGTAATGTAGGGGAGCCATTTTGCCTGTGGCCTCCCAAAATACTTTCCCTACTCCTCCTTCCCATTTTAAGCCTTCAGTGCTCTTATTCAGACAAAGTTGTTTGTGATGGCAGTTTCTCAGCTACCCTGCTTGTGAGTTTCATGGTTAGTTAGGTGTGATTTTAAATGTGTTTTACTGAGCATATAGATAATTTATTTCACCACCTGCATGGGTCTGCTTTCTGCCTTAACATGACATCACTTCAACATGGGGTTTGTTTTTCCTTACAGTCACATAGATACTAAGGATGCTCCGATCATGTTTTTTTTGCCACAGATACTAATCATCTACAAATGAGATTGGCTGATTTTTGGCATGCATTGCAGATTTATTGATTTACTGTACACATACACACAATCCTGTGCAAATGCCTTCTCACTCATATTAGTCACATATTTATATATAACCGTGGATGAAAACAGGCACCCATAAACACAGAGCTCCCACATGCACTTAGAAAAACAAAACTTCACAAACACACCCACACACTACAAAATAGTTACACACATACACACTCACTCAGTCAGTCAGTCAGTCAGTCAGTCAGTCAGTCTCTCACTCACTCACTCACTCACTCACTCACTCACTCACTCACTCACTCACTCACACACACACACACAGGATTGGAGGAGAGAGCAAAGGTGAAACAATCTGATCACAGATCAGAGGACAGGGATCAAGAGGGATGTTGCAGGAGCACAGCCTGTAAGGCAGAATCGAGGAGACAACTTTCCTGCTGAGAGGGAAAGACTGTGTGACATCTTAAAACCTAAGATAAAAAGTAGGCAGGTGAAGTAGAAAGGAAAACCTGCTGCTCTCTAACCCCAAAGCTCAGCATTAGTAACACCAACAGTCACAAATGTAAATAAACAGGCAAAAGGAATGAAGATATCCTGTAAAACATGCATAAAGAACACACACTATATTAACTATACATATTGCAGGATGTAGAGAAAGTGCTTTTGAATAAAAGGTGATTTTTTCACTGCACAGAAAACATTTTCATATATTGAAATATCACCACAAGCATTAGCGTCATTAATATTAATATTACAATAGCTGTATTCAATTAACTTGAGCCATGTCCAAGGTACTGATATTATGAATTCTGACTAACGCATCAAGACGTATTTGGGCATCATTATTGCTATCAGTTACACCATTTTCTGTTCCTGCTTATGTCTGATGGGAAAAAGTCTTTTACAGCTGCAGCTGAGGATTAGTATCACAATAAATTAATCTGCTTATTATTTTTTTGATGAACTCAATAATCAACTCGATAAAACAGTGAAAAATACCCAACACAATGCCCAAGATTTGTGTCATCAATTTGTCTCTTGTCCATCCAACAGTCCAAAAGCTGAAGATATTCAATTTACTCTGATGTAAGACCATGTACTATAATGTACATTTGAGAAGCTGAAACTATGTTTTATATTGTTTGCTTAAAATTTGATTATTTGAAACGATTTGCAAAATAGTTTCAGATTAACTTACCAATGAATCAACTTATCACTGTAGTTCTGTCTGTTCAGCTATTTTATAAAAACACAGGTCTGATTCACCAGTGGTTTATAAAATTAACCTGTTACACATCGAACAGAGATATAGCAACATTTTTTTGATAGACTGACCCTTATATACACTAAATGTTGTCCATAACAGGCCAGGGCGCTTGCACAGTCGGTCCTAAGAAACCACTCATCCTTGTCAATTGTTTCTTTCCTTTTTCCTACTATAAATTCTGCTGTAGAGTAAAAGAACATTTGCGATGCCAACATTGATGGATTCTTAGTGAATGCGAGCAGCCACTGATGTGTAACCACGTGTGAGAAAAACACTTTTTCAAACACTAGGTCACAGCCTTACATTTCATTTTACAATATCCTGAAATTCTCCAACACAGTCAGACCTGTTTTTGGATTATGTCTTGTAAGGCTAAGCTTAGCAAAAGTGCCAGCATTATTTGCAACAGAGCTTATCATTATTAGTGTATTGTTTCTTGCAGAGCACAGATGATTAAAATTAATTTAGTAAGTATTAATGTCTATTCCCTGCTGTCAGATTTACTTTCCTAGTCCTAATTACGAAGCTTGTACTGTAGACTATCTATTTACCACAACTCGGAGTGAATATGAAGCACAAGATGCAAAGGTTTTGAGAAATAAAAACAAGTGTAGGAACTATTGATAGTCGTTTAGGTTAGTAACATTAATGCCCCAGTTACTTTTCTTCATACTACTTGCAGCACTTTGTCTTTCCTTGCAGTGTGTGACTACAGTGTGAGACAGCAGCTGTAATCTTGCGTCTCATTTTTATGTCTTCACAGGTTGTCAAGACTGCTTTGACCCAGCGGCAGCAAAATCCACTGGGAAAATCAATATGGTCTTCAATGACCGCTCTTTTACAGCAACCTCCACCTGCCACTTTTCCTTCCAATTTGACTGCAATATGACCCTGAAAAACTCTATGGTCCTCAAGGGATATTACCTACAGGCGCCTCACACCTCTTTTCTTCTGTGTGTATATGTGAACACCCGAGGGACAGAGAAGAAGAACATGAGAGCATCAATAGGAGGGGCACTATAGAGAGAATGCTTTTCTGTCAGTGAGCCAGAAAGAAAAGCTGAGAGAGTGAGAGGTGAAGCAATTAGAAAAAAAAAATTACGGAAGTTAGAAAGACAAGAGAAGCAAGATTCACAAGCGGCAAAGAAGTGGGAAAAAGGAGAGAGCCTTTAATGTTGTACATTGTGGTAACGTTAGAGTTGGTGCTTGAGGGGGAACCAAGGGGGAACCAAGGGGTTGTGCTGGTGTTTCTTTTATCTACCTACTCACCTTCCCTTCATCCTTTGGGCTATCGCTCAAATGAACCACAGGTCCTGGATGAGTTTTAGTTGATCTGTGATGAGAGGGGAAAATAAGAGAGAGGAGAAGAGGACTCTTACACCTTGTTTGGAGAGGACATGTAAGCAAAGAGTAATGAGTAACTTTACAGTTTTACTCTGCCCATAGAAAAAAAAAATACTATGTAAAACATGATGCTAAGTAGCATGACATTTACAGGCACTGTAGTGAAGAAAACATTGATGCCTTTCAGCAGGGAGCCACAACAACCAAATGTTATAATATTAGATGGTATTTTTTTAAAGTGTTTGTGTTATAATTGTAATTTCCAAGTCATTTCCTCCAAACAATCTACTGCATTGATTCAATAAACTGTTACACTAAAAAAAAACAACCTTACAGCTAATGAATTCATCATCAAATATAAGAGTACAGACCCTAACAGGTTGTCAGTTAAATATAGTGCAATACCTTTGTGGTGACGCAAGAATTACATGGCACATTAACAAATAAGGCAACACAGAGATGATGAAGAACTGCACAAAAATTCTTGCTGTTACTCAAGACTTGACCATCAGCTCCATGTCACAGTCAAACTTCTACACATTACTGTTATATTAACCAAACCAAGAGGAAAATATCAGTGGTGTGAAATACTTTACTTAAGCACAGTTTTAAGGTACATTTTACTTAATTTGATCATTTGAGTTGCTAGTTACTTTACAGATTCAGATTAAGAATACAAAATATAAGCAACAACAAAAAAAGATGTATTACATTATTCAACATTTTTTTTAATTTTTCTTTTATTAGCTTTACCTTTACCAGCTGCAACATGAAAGGGTTAGATGTACAGTACATATTAATGCATCTATAATTACAGACCAATAATATAATATGCATGTTACGACCCCTGTTCGCAGTTAGGGGAAAAAGGGAAGCAACATCAAACCAGGTGTTTTAGGTAAAGCAAAATGTATTATGTAACTGTGGAGGGAGGCACAAACAAGGTGCTGCTCGACTCAAAAACAAAATGTAACAAAAAGAGGACTCTATCCTAACAGAGTTGCTAACTTACTTTCTAAGTAAAAAGGAAAATGAACCAAAAGAGCTTGACTACACTAATTCCTATAAACTAAAAGATAAACAAAAACACATTATTACTTTTGTTACTTTAAATATATTTTGATAATACTTGCTTGAATGTCATGAATGCATGACTTTTATTTGTAACAAAATATTTCTTTACTGTGGTATTGCTATTTTTACGTAAGTAAGAGTAAGTATGACTGCTTCTTCAAATGGGAAGACTCAGGAGAATATTTTGCCTTAGTGAGCCATATTATCTGTCAATATTGGGATCACGACAAATTAGACCAATGCAGATGTCATGGTTTGGATAATCAAATGTTTCCCACCAAAACTTTCAGCAGGAGAAAATCATTTTTCCAAAGGCCACTTGGTCACCAGCTAACTTCACTGTAGCAGCATCATGATATTTTAGCATCATGGCTGAAATGTGAGCTGATCTGGGACGCTGAGGTAAAGTGTGACTGACACGTTCAGAAGGGGACATTTAGTTCTGCCTGCTGCCGGAGGGTGATAAAAACATGAAACCGCGGAAAGCTCTCCATACATTTTATTCAGCAGTAAGAAGCAACAAACCATCCGCAACACACCTGTCCAATCGGTGAAGTGCCACAACGGGTGAATGCCAAAAGCAAACCTTGCTACACCAGCCATCCAGAACAAGATAATACAATAAGCTGACGCACACTTTCTGATGTAACATGCATATACACTTTTGACCCCACAGCTCCTGCTGCATGACGCACACACACACGCACGCACACACACACACACTGCCGTTGATAACACTAATTTCTTTTTGACTGAGTTTATTAGTATGAAAACAAGTTACGAAGTTGTTGAAGAGAAAATGTTTGCAGCAGTTATTGAATTTCAGATTCAGTGGGCTGTAACTGAGGGCGAAGGCTTGCTATTGTATGTGAAGGTCTTTTTTTTTTTTGCTGAAGAAAGTCTTCGCGCTGTGGAATCAAATATGTGAAAAGAGTTGAGTCACTGACTGACTAAGTGACTCCTAATAAAGTTTGCCTTTAAGACAACAAGGCCAGTCTTTGAAAACCACACAAATTGAATCAGAATGCTTTAAGAAAAAATTCACTGATGACTTGCGTGTCTCCTCCACCTCCGCTACCAGGGTTAAACAATGGACGCTAGTTATAGGGGTCTCCATCACCTGTAATGTTAGCTAAGCGTCACCAGACAGCGTTTACTGTATACCTGGGGCCACAGCCTCGGATATAAAACGGACATAATCTTCGGGTGCTGGAATCATGGAGGGAAAAGCAGGGAACCCAAACCCACTCCACCACAGCTCTAGTTATATCAACATTGTTATCCATGCCAACACTTATGATGTGAGGATGAAGCAGTCAGAGATCACAAAAGCTAGCCGAGCCAGGATGTTTGAGTTTGCCAGAAAGATGAGTCTGCATCGATTTAACAGTGTCTGGTCTCCCATGTGGGGTAATGATTAAATGTACAGCAGGTTTACTTCTCTGAACCGCTGGCTGGCTGATCATTGTCGCGAGCAGGGATTTATTATTGTGGCTAACTGGCCTTCTTTCTGGGGCTGCCATGACCTGCTTCTACCTCCTAATGGAGTAGGCGCTGCTATTTTATCTAGAAATGTAGACAGGTGTTTTCGTCAGGTTTGACATTAGGGATTTAGTGTTCAGCAGGTCACAGGAGATTAGACAGCCTGCTAGGGTTATAGGAAGTGTGGCTTTGGAGTCTGCTAGTTTAGAAATTACATCTACTGAGGTAAACTTCAGCGTGCAGACCATCAGCCTCATAGCCAGATTGAGAACACTGAGACTGTCTCCCTCCCCTGCCATACTACTCATATGTTACGCTACCCTGTGAGAAAGAGAGAAAGAGGAGTGACCAAAACAGCGAGCGTGTCCTGTTTTGCTGCCTCGCTCGCTCATTGACTCCAAAAGTTCTATTTACCACCATAAAAAGCAGCAGGATAAGAAACTGAACTAAAGGACGTGTTCTGTCTGTCTGTGGATCTCCTAATTCACTAAGACCAAATCACAAAGAATCGTAAGAGGGCTGCTGTCATTCCATGTTGCGATGTTTTGGAAACCTTACACGATGCTGAATCACTAATTACTTAAGGAAATGGACTCAATCATGAGGGAATAATGATCGTCGTGAAGCTAGTGAACCTAGCTACCTCTTAATGAAGCTTCCCCTACTGATTACACTAATGCACATGTTGCTCAGGCTACTAAGTAAGGTGGGGGTGTGGCCTGTAACCCTTTAAGTAAAAGTAAAACTTTTCTGGCGATTATTGACTCTCTCTCTCTCTCTCTCTCTCTCTCTCTCTGCCCACCCTGAGTCCGGTTCTGTACAAGGTCTCTGCCTCTTAAAAGGAAGTTTTTCCTTGCTACTGTCACCAAGTGCTTGCTCATGGTGGGAATTGTTAAGTCCCTGTAAATATTATAAAGAGTACTGTCTAGACCTGTTCTATATGAAGTGCCCAGAGATAAATTCTGTTGTGATTTGCTGCCATATAAATAAAAATTGGCTTGACTTGATGAAATTTGTGTTTACTTCAATATATTCTGGAAAGTTGCGAGGCTGTAGACGTACTGCTGAATTGTATAAAACATCATTCTTACATTACTGATTCTGCCACAAAGAATTTATGGTAATTAACAATAAACCAACCGTATTACCATTCCTCATATATGATTGCTTCACTAATACTCCTTTAGAGGTGTACGTTACATTAAAAACATTACATCACTTGTGTTGTAATGTTGAGTACAAAACTTAACAATGAATGTGTTACTTGGATTTCCAAGAACTCCGTCTTTTAACACTGTGTTATGTCTAGAAACATTTCATGAAATAAATGGATGGTTTGTTCTGATTATTGTCCATGTGTTCATCAGTCTCCAAGTCTACGGGGGCGGTAGTGGGGATGTTGTATACTAGAAAAATATCTACACAACGAGCGGAAATGAAAATGGTGGTGAAGTGAAGTTTGAAGGGTTTAGGGCAGCAAGCTTAATTTGATGATTTGGGTTCTCTTCAGAGATGTAATAGCCCTGTTAAAGAACCCAATGAGCCAATTAGTCAGTCTAAAAAGCGTCATCAGAAGTACTACTGTCCCTGTCATGTTTAGCAATGATGTTACCAAATCACCTCAAGGACAAAGCCAAAAACCCACTCAAACAATCCTGTCTGTTGTGACTCAGGGGATTTGAAAACCAGCCTAATTTCCTGCCTTTTGCCAAGTACATGTCGGGAAAAGATCCAGCATTCACTGTACAGATTAAGAGGTGTGTATACAGTATTCTGCATAAATAACAACACTAAAATGAATGCAGAAAATGGAATGGATGAAATAGTCATAAAGGAATGACTAAGCAAATCAACTAATACAGTATGTTATCAGGAACTGGAAAACTAAAGAGAAAACAGGAATGTTTTTGGTTTTTCTTTTAGCCATGACTACCACAGCTGCTGCGATCACAAACACAAATGCAAAGACACCTTGAGCTACAGCAGGACCAGCAGAGCTAAGGCAACCCATCACAGCTAAGACAAAATAATCAACAGGACAGATAAAAAGGAGGGAGGCATAGCAGAAAGTAGCGAGTCGGTTGCAGAGGTAGGATGGATATAAAAGAAGACGTATAAGTAACATAACTGCTGGGAGATTAAAAACTTGTCATATACATTAAACAAATGTTCTACCTGGTACACCTCTTTATTGTTTCTTTCCCTTAATGTCCATTTAGCCCATAGTCTACTCACAGTCCTTTTCACCGAGAATAAAACAGGCAAAGACATTTAATCAAACAAGCATCCTACATTTTTTTCTTCCTGTATTTTCATCTATTGCATTGCAAGGACTTCATGTTGTGAGTTGTTATTCTATGTGTAAAAGACTACTTAGTATTTATGTTTTGCTTTGGTGCAACAGTCAACAATATACCACTACAGAGTTTAGGATGTGGTTCCTCTCCTCTCCTTCATTTTTTAATCCTTTAATCTGTAAGAGAATATGCATTTTACTAAGGAAGAATTCCATCTCCTCCTCTACCAGACTAAATCACTTTATATTGAGGATTAGCTGTGCACTGGGTTTATAAGACATTGTTTCTGAAGAGACAGAGGGAGGGAAAAAAATTCAATAAAGTGTCTCTCAGCTTTGTGAGGTGTAACAGCACCAAACAGTACAGGCAAAACAAAGAAATCATATAGTCCATATTAGTTAACATGAATATATCTGGTCAGGTATCCATCAACTACAAAAGTGGAGTAAATAACGTTTTCATGACTCAACTCAGAGACTGACCCTTAAATCTTGTAACAGCAGGTGACTTTCAGCAAACCAAACAAATATGTGGTTGTCCCTCATATGGTGGGTTAAATACAGAAAAACTAAACAAGTCTTGTCCCATGTCAATGTTGTAGTTTTCCATATTTTACCATTTGACATTCCCTAAGCATACACATATGCTTTGAATTGCCTAACCTACTATAAAAATGTTGACCATGCTTTAGTTGACTACAATGAACATTATAAAAAACGTAAATCCAGGCAGCATTACATTTCTTTCTAACCATATTTGCAAATTTACGGTGTTATGTAGGAGACAGGGTTGTTGTTGCCATCTATTTCTGTTGTCACATATTTCTGTACAGTGTATTTGCATGTTAAGACTATGTTAAGAGTGTTCTTTATTTTACAATCTAAACAGCAGAAATACCAAACATGCCAATTTTGATTACGGCACACATGATGCCAGGCATAAAAATAATTCTGTTCATCAGAAGGATCTATGAACTGCAGCACAGTGTGCATTGGGCTGCTGTGTTTTCCCATTTCCCCCTGCATCTCATTTTTATATCTCATTTTGGAATGAATCTCCTGAAGATGAAATTGTGCATTAAATATGTTCCAAACCCATTTGAATTTCAATGCGAGCCCAGCCCTCCTGTTTGGGAACAGTGGCCCCAGTTGAGTTGTTGCTATAACAGATTCTTTTGGCTTGTATTAAATTAATGCATCTGTGAGTGGCTGTCACACAAACAAACACTGTGATGACACAAATGCACACACAGTTGTAGACACACACACACCCCAAATGTGACTCACACTATGCTGTTTGAACACAGTGGAAAGAGTGGATGAGTTCTCCCTTGCTCAGTGTTCCACCGCAGGATAAACAGAAATTCCCCCCTCATCCCTATTCATGCTTGGTCGAAAACCTCCAAAGCCAAACTATGAAACTCCCCAGTCGCTCTGTGTGTTGCTGTAAGAAGATGCACCCTCTACTAGTTCAACTTCCCATGAACTCCACTTCAGAAAGGTACAGAGTGCTGACGGTTAGAAAACAGAGACTGCATTATACATTATCATCTATGCTCAAACAGAACATAATAGGGAGTGTACAAAACCCATTATTCAAATGGTTGTGTGCTCTCCCTATTTAATGCACTTCTTATTTTGCCATCTTTGTCTGATATGTGCTAATTAAGAATCTAAAAGGTATTTCATAGTTCTGGATATAAAATGTCATCACTTAATTTTATCCCTGTAGACATTTGTTAAATTATGTCATAATTAGAGTATGAATTTGTTAGTAATGGCCAAAAATGTTTTTTTTTTTGTGTTTTTTGTGAGGTCACAGTTACCTTTGACCTTAGACCACCAATTTCTAATTAGTTCATCCTTGAGACCAAGTGAATGTTTGTGCTAGATGTAATGAAATTCCCTCCGGGCGTTCCTGATATATTGCACTCACAAGAACGTGAGGTCACTGTGACCTTGAACTTTGAGCACCAAAATCTAATAAGTTCATCTTTGGGTTCAAGTGAATGTCTGTGCCAAATCTGAACAAATTCTCTCAAGGTGGTCTTGAGATATCACATTCAAAAGGCCAAAACTAATTTTAAGACGTTCCCTCAAGGCGTTACTCATCACATTCAAGAAAATGGGACGGACGGACGGACGGACGGACGGACGTGAAAACATTAACAGCACATAAACATGAAAACATTAAATATAGGAGACTTTAGTAATGACTGGTAGAGGGCTCTCCCACACATACACATCAGTGTTGTGACTGTTCACTGTAGTTTGGGCTGTCACAAGGCAACAAGATGGCTTGGCATGAGAGTGACTTGTGACTGACACTGCAGCAGGGGACTTGTCAGGGTAGTGCCACAAGAATGGTGTGTAGGTGGGTGAAACCAAGAGAAACAAACGGGCATACAATGCAACTGAGCACAAATTGTATATATGATGTTGCTGTCAATTTGCAGCATAATTCAGCTACGCAGTCAACACTTGCAACAGAGAAAAGTGCACGTTAACAAATTATTAAAAGTTTCTATGAAGGCTGTTGATGCAATGCAGTTGTGCTTTTTTTTTCTGGAGTTTGTGACGCACTGTGACATGTACTCATCTCATTAACTAATCTCATTAACTCATTTAGTCTCCAACCGGCTGTTAAAAATATGTTTTCTCAAAGTTGTAGGAGAGATGATTCACTACCAAGTTTTGTTTGTTTTATTTTTTAATACATATTTTTTAAAATATGAATTAATTCATGGCTGTATTTGCTATATGAACAGCTAGATTACCATAATGTTCTGAATGACTGAGAAAGGTTCAGTCTAGCAAGTAACAATATAGTTAACTTAAATGTGGCCGAACATTAACATATGAATACAAACGACAAATGGGCCAACTTTAATAGTATGAGCACAAAATTGATTCAACATCCAATAATTTAGAATACAAGGCCTATATTTAAGTGTGTGCATGTGTGTGATGTGTGGAGAAACAAGCAGAAACGTTATTTTACTGATTATTGCAAAACAACCATCCACATATTCACCCAAAGCTAGTAAATTGCAACTCATTTTTTCACCCCCAACGTGCTGCCTGACCCAAAGCCATCCACACCATCACCATCGTCATCGTCACTGTAATCACAATAACTTATCATTGTTTCTGTCATCTCCAGTATTTGGAGCATTAGATACTCACAGTTCTATGGCCTTGTTCCACATGATGACATATCCAGACAAAATGAAGGACTCGATGTTGACGATGTGTGTGTTTCCGCGCTCCGTCCCCACGTACAGCCATTTACTCTGAAAGGGAAGGTGGCAAAACGTGATCCTGGAGAACAAGAAACAGAGGAGGAAAGAGACTGAGTGTTAGAATACGAGCAGTCATAAAGCAGTTTTTCCTTCAGTGTGTTTCAGGGATTGTGCTATCAGTGGATTTGAGTATTAGTAGTAGTAGTAGTAGTAGTAGTAGTAGTAGTAGTAGTAGTAGTAGTAGTAGTAGTAGTAGTAGTTCAGAATGGTTAAACTGTGTATTCTCACAATTTTGTGGATATTAACATTGATCTACATCTGCTGCAAAACACAAATCAACTGACGAAGCAACCATGGGCAAGGAGGCAGTTACTCAATGAAACAATTGTTGGACAACAGACAAGGTGATTATAACTGCATCGATGTTTGCATTCTCCAACCATCACTATGTTCTGTACATGGCACTTGACAGACTGTACCTATCACGTCACCATAAGAAGCAACCATGGTAATGACTGTCCCTCTTCATAGAAGTCATGCCTCGACTCATTCAAGTGAGATGGCCGGAATCATTTTGAATCAAGGTTTAATTTAGCACTCGGCAGGAAGGTTAAAATCTTTTCCCTCCACTATGCAGTACCTTATGTATATCGCCTACATTCGCTCCTCCTGCCCTTTATGTTGCCACTCAGAGAACTTTTGCACTCAGCCTGTAAGCTCACTTTATGCTGCTATAAATAGTTATTCGAACAGCCCTTCAAAACAACTGCCAGAAGTAGAAGCCTGAACTTTTTCTGTGTTCTGTTACATTTCTGCACCACAGGCTAAACTGGTCCACCATTTCACACATAATCATCACTCCTCTACTCAAAGCTTCAAACAGCATAAAATCCTTATCAAATGCAGAATATTATTTCACTCAGTCTACACTTTGCATACAATATAAATTCTCAAGAATTTCTGGACCTTGACTGGATATCATTCAAGTCAAGACAAGGTACTGTTGTGGCCTCCTATGACCAAACCTGAGTGACTGCACAAACTGTTTATGAAGATATTTTCTATGGCTTCTCTAAAAACCTATTGGGAGTTTTCCATGACCACATGAACCCTGATTATGGATACAAAATAATTATGATATAATATCAAGCTCCTTAAACCATTATTGCTCTCACATTAGCATTCATCATCTCTTAAAGCACCTTAACCAGCGAATAAAGAGCACACACTAAGTCACTCCTGTCCATGCTGATTACCTTGGAAAGATGTGGGGGATCATTGGGCTCCAGCCCCAAAGCCACCAACCCAGCAAGAGGCAGGATTATTAGATAGAAGACAAATGAGTTGGCAGACAATTCAATAAGGATTTTAGGGGCTTGGGGCGATGACAATATTCCAACTGGTGGTGGTGGTGTGTGTGTGTGTGTGTGTGTGTGTGTGTGTGTGTGTGTGTGTGTGTATGTGTGTGTGTGGAGGGGGGCAACAGAGGCTCATACAGTCTTCTGTCCTCTGCAACACGCATTTATCCTTAAACCACCAAATGCACGTATTTCTTTGCTTGTTTCGAGAATCTTTAGGCTCAACCTCTCTGGATGATTAGCTCCAATTTTTTTAACATAAAAAGCAACAAATGAGATGCAATCTAAACCACTTCATAAACTCCAGCTAAACTGCCATATTTCAGAAAACATATTAGTGATTGAGTCTTGATATTTTCCATGTGTAAAAAGGTTTTTGGATGAGGCATATTTAGAAAAGCCTTTTAGCACTGATTACCTCCTTGAAATGTCACAGCAAAGACCAAATAAAAGACAAAGCTTTAAAGAAAAAAAAACATCAAAGGAAGAAACGATGAGAAGATGAAAGGATGCAGAAAGAGGTAAATAGTGGCGAATACAAATCTAGAGGGCAAAAGAGGGAAAGTCAAATTCATGGTTTTGACTCCAGACAGTCGGAGCAGGCACTATCATCAAGCCTTATAATTATCAATCAAAGAGGACAGGAGGAGACGTGGCTTTAGCCTCCAGCTGACCAGCCACTGCTAAACCAGCTGAGGAGCAAATGTCCCTAATGAAGTAAACAGATGTAGAGATTAACTGAATTGGTGACATCATCGGGGGAACTGGCGACCTCGCCATCTGCTCTGCATGAGATGTGACACAACTATTTAAGGAATTCTACAATGACTACCTATATCAACAAAGACAGTCATGTTGGATACATCAAAACCACAGAGGCTTATATTAGCTCAAATTCCTGTTGACATGATGAGGAGGGGAGTGGGGTAGGGGGGGTGGGGGGGGGGGGTGGGGGGAGCAGGGCAGTGGAATGCTGGAGAAAGGTATGCAAAAAACAATTCTCTCCACCATTTCCAGTGATTCACATGTTATTGTTAAGGGATTCTGAGGAGGTGTTAGGGTGCTAATTGTCAGAGGTTCAGCCTAGAGACATAGAGCTAAATAGAAAGTCACTGCCCAGCCTGTGACAGATGACTCATGATGCCCTTTTTCTTCATTTATCTTCGAGCATGATTCACTGCTCTGCAACTGGGAGTGAGTGGTTCTGACTCCTACCTCATCGCACCACAAGACAGGTAGAAAGCTACTGCGGGAAGTTTATTTTAACACTATTGAAGCAAAACATTTTTCCTAACCTCTCTGACCTCTGTGTTTGTGTGGGCATGCTATGTGCATCACAAAGTGATGGCTACAGGTACCAGGATATGACGCTTAAGTATAAAATCTGAAAAGGACAGGTTTACAGTGACCAGTATGCAATGATTCCACAAAACAGTAATGTAGTGAGGCTGTTGCAGCAGCAAATGTAATAGGATGAATCCAGAAAACATCCATAAAACTCTGCTAGCTATCCCCCAATATGGACTTAAAACTGTGCATATCTTGCCGGTGCTTCCAAAACTTTTGAAAAGCATTCCTACTGAAATCCATTTTGCTACCTCAGTGACTTGTTTAAAATCTACTTTTTTTGTAAATGTGCATTCCTGCACCATTAAATTGTCTTTCTGTTCCCTGTAACTTTAAGTTCTAGAAAAAGATTAGAAAAATACAAAATATTGTACCAATCATTATTTTTACCGGGGCGCCTCAGTGGCTCACCTAGTAGAGTGCGTACGACATTTGCATAGTTCTAGACTCTGACCCACGGCCCTTTGCTGCATGTCATCCCGCCTCTCTCTCCCTGACTTTCCTGTCTCTTTCTCACTGTATTATAACAATAAAGGGAAAAAATGCCCTAAAAGAGCTTCAAAAAAAAGAAGTACTGTACCAACAATGTTATTATTATCATTAATATCACCTGTGCATAACCCCCCCCAAAAAAAAAAATTGAATTACTATGATAAGTTCTCACACATACTGCTAATGACTTGAATCCTGTCACTGCATTACAGAGACACCAAGTTCTATCTTTAACAAAGTGCAGACTGTACATTCTTTCAATAACTCTTCCAGTCCATTATCCTTTATCCTTTATTATCCTTTATCTTCGTCGTTTTCTGATGATATCTTCGAGTTTTATGATGTTTTGTTTTATAGAAGAATTGAGATTCTGTCTTGTGGAAAAACCTAATTTCTCTCTAATGGTAAAAAAGTTTCAGTAGAGAGAAAACATGCTCTCTGACTCAGATAAGGTCCTTGACTTATAATAGCAAACCGGGTGAGTTTCAAATGACTTGTACTAATCAAGAGTAAGACTTGTATTGACAAAGAAAACTTTGTAGGAAAAATAAAGAACTGCACTTTATGTGCTTTTAAAAAGCGATATATTCCATCACATTCAGTTGGAATGCAGTCATTTTCATTAAATGTCCTTGCACATGACACAGGAGCCTAAGGTGTAAATGAACTTTTAGTTGAAATGAAAAGACTCTTTTTCCTGCAGAAAGACAGAAAATATGAATAGAAAAAGAAAAAGAAAACAAAAATCTCAAACTGCGTCAATTGTATCCATTATGTAAGTTCATCTTAAATATGATACAGTGTGGGCTTTATAATCTAATGTAATCATTAAATTTCGTATTGTCCTGTCTTTTGTGTTTTGCTGTGAATACATCTTTTTAAATATACTTCCATTATGTATAAAGGCTGCTTCACCTGATTTCTGTCAGCATGTCTGAACTTTCTATGCCTCAACGGGGAAGAGAGTGTCTGCTTTTCTTTGAAAAAGAAACTAGCTGTGATTCTAAGTCCACAGAATTTTTCTTTTTCGTTAGTTATGGTTATTACTTTTCACCAATAGAATTACAGCTTTTGGCTGCTGTTATGAAATTTATAGAAAGGGGCAACATTTTGGTGCAAAACATTCAAAAGTACGGAGGTGAGCAATGACCCATTATCTCACAGGTGAACTTTGAGAAATAATAAGGCATGCATGTCAAATGAAGGTTATGTATTGTAAGCCTTATTCCTTGCATGCAGACAGAGCAATGCCAGAGTGGCCATTGGGAGAACTGAGACTTTTCTCTATGGGCTGCTACACAAATTAGGGCGGTAGCTCAATGTGAAAGAAATAAAAATATCAGAGAGAGACAGAGAAAGAGGGAAAGAGACAGATGTGGCTTTGGGGTGGTGATTGGCCCAGTGGAGCAGGCTGCGTGGCTCACTCTGTTTCTATGTGGCCGTCATCTCCATCACATCTGTCTCCCTCTCTAGTTAACTATAGGAACTACTATAGGCTTGTCTTGTTGTATAGTTTTGTTTTCTGGTTTTCTCCTCTGGTTTCATGAGAAATTTGAATAAGCTCATTAAGTACCCAAAGTCTGTGTGATGAGCTCAGATCAACAAAAGGAAGAAAAAGCCACTAAAATTCAGATAGTGCAATATTTCCTGCTAGGGTCCAGTCTGAATTCTAATCTCTCTCTATAGTTACCTGTAGTTATAGAGATATATGGTCATTTTTGTTGTTGTAGTTGTGGACTGTAATACCAAGAGGTGTTTCTCATACAGTTTTTTTTTTCACAAACTACAATAATAAAATCTAGTTGAATTGAACTGTGCAGATAACAATTACAGAATAACATTACAAACTTATCTAAATATAATTCATGTGCAGATATTGTTCTACAAATCATCATAGTTAATCAAACCACTGTTTACTGAACGATTCTTGTAAAGTGTGACATGGTCTCAATGTGAAAGTCCCAGTCCCATTTTTATTAAAGCCTTCCTTCAGGGATTTGACAATATTGCACTAATGTGCAATGACACTTGCCTGAATCAAACAAGGATTAATTCGCTAAACACTCATCTAACTGTACTCATTGTATACTGGATGTACCTACGTTGAGCATGTAGTGGTTATTGCAAAGAAAAGAGCTCTACTCAGGACTAGAGCAGGTACGATGCAAAATGTTTATTCTACTCTACAGACGCAGAAACCCCGAACACTTTCAACACCAAGAGCTCAATTAATGCTGACCAGACTCAAATGGATCCTTGCTCCTTTCACTGCATACCCCTAACTAGCTCATTTGCCATGTAGACAAAAATGGTGGACTGTGAATGTGCGCTCTGGATAGTTTAACAACTGCAGTGGACAGCCCCACATCGAACAGCCTGTTTTTGAAACGACTCTTGCAGGTCACTGAGTATATTTTACCCATTTGGGAAAATCACAGGTATAGTTTTTACCAACTGAGTCACTTCTGTGTGTGGCCAGACACATGTATGTTGTGTACGTTTCCACAGGCAGATAGAGCCTAAAAGCTTTCCAAAAACCAAGCATCAGCATCTAGAGGCCATTGTTTGCCATTAAAGTTTAATGGTGGAGAGCAGAGACTGAGCTTTCGCTGCTGGGAAAAAGCAAAGAGCCAAGGATGCACTAACAACCACATCACACAGACTGCTATTCTACAGAAGAGGTGATGGCCTTGAGCAGGGAGTGAGACAGCTGATTGACTGAAAGAAGCAGCTGGCTGGAGGTGTGGCATGTCTTCTTCTTCTTCCAGAGGGTGAGGAGGTATGACACAGAGACAAAGAAAGAGAGATACATCGAGGACATCACACCTGCTTTAAGGAAGAGGAAAGTAGGGGGTTCTGGGAACGGATGAATATTTGCTCAGTTGGAGTAAATGGAACGATTATTACAATTTCGACACAACATTAACAACAGAGTGGGAGAGAGTAGGGATGGGTATGAGTACTCGAGTACTCGTTGTTGATGTAATCATTCGAGTAGTTTTTCACTACTCGCGCAACTGTGCACGTGTTGTTTTTGGCTATGATAGTTCAACTCAGTTGGTGTTACGTGCACCATGGCAGCTGTGACCAGGAAAAGTGAGGTCTGGAAATACTTTGATGTAAAAGACGACCATAACGTGCAGCGCAAGATATGTGGTGTTAAACTTGCATATCATGTTCTCCGACAGCCAAACAGGAGGCTTGGTCGGGAAGGTCTGTGTCCGACTGGAAACACAAGCTTAACATAAATTCAGCTTGTGTTTCCGGTCGGACATGGACCTCCCATATTTCTTTTTTTTACGGTAAAAATTTATTTATACATAATTTGTGAGTAATCGAGTAAATGTTCATAAGGTAATGAGAGTACTCGAATATAGAAGTTACTGAAAATGCCCATCCTTAGGAGAGAGTGGACATGCCAAATTACCAAACACACTCAGGGTCTTCTCAGCTTCAGTCACTCACACTGGATCTGGCCCTCCCACAGCTAGCCAGCCAGGATTCCTGCAGTGGTCATGTTTTTCCCAGCTCATTGAGCACTTCTGTCCCATTGCATCTTAGCTGTCGGGGGAAAAGTAAAGCAGCAGTAACAACCTGTCCTCTGACCTCCAGGACCCTCAAGTGGTGTCAAAAAAAAAAGAAGAAAAAGAAAAACATATAGAGTGGAGAGCTCCAAAACAGGAGTTGTCTGTGTCATTGCTGGTGGCGCATCATACTCAGCTACATCTGCCAAAGCCCAACAACAAAATTAATGCTCTTGACATTTCAAACACCTTTGCAGAAGTTGTTCAATTGACCCATAATAATGATTAGATTCAATCCATCAACCATCACATCCAGGCCGACTTCGTTAATTAACCAACATCCTGTAGAAATATTCCACTAGCTCTCTCTGCTGGTGGAAGTTCGTAGTGATCATCTGAAAGCTAGCTCATGTAGCTCAGTGGTTTAGGTGGTAACATCTAACATGTCAAAGGAGATGGATTCAGCTGCCTGAGAACCACTCGGAAATCATCTCTCAGAGGCCTGTGGTGGTGGTAGTGGGGCTGTCTCACAGATGGAGTCAGATGGAGTTACCAGCTGAGATGGAAGCGTGAGTTTCCAGCCAGTGGATCTTCTTTCTATGGTTTATCAGACATGGTGAAAAAGGAGCAGAGTCAGAGTCAGAGGCAGGACAGAGGAGTTGGCCTCATCTGCTCAACACTGCTCGTCAACTCTGTCTGCTGTCTTCCAAACTGAGTTGATTAAATGTGTCCTCCTGGTGGAGGAGCTCTGACCACTGCCGATGCTCTAGCTGAAGTTGGTCCAGCAGCCAATATCTGCTGGGTGGTGTGAGTAGGGGTCTTTCTGGGGCACAGAGGGCACTGCCTAGTGGCATCAGTGATTTCTGAAAGAGCTCTCTGAGGAATAAATTTGTTAAATAAGGGATTTCAATTTTCTTGGCGGATTGTGATTTTATCTCTAAGAGTTATAACTGAGAACTACCCAAACATTTTGTCACTTTCTACAATGGAGAATTCATCATAAAAACATTGACTATTAATAATTAGGTGAAGGGCTCTCTCCCTCTCTGTGAACAAGGGTTAAGGGTTCCTGGTGAAAAGCTGTAAAACTCCCCACGTTTCAGACTGCTCATCAATGATGGATGATTATTATATTGATGGCCATTATCAAAGGCACAGCATCAACACTGGAGGTGTGGACACACATGCGTGCAAACTGCAGTAGCAGCTCAGTGAGGTATCCGTCATGCACAGGTGAGGTGGTGTGAAGTGGTGTGGCACTAGTTTTAGCCACTTTGCCTTTGCGAGCTTCTCGAAATTAGGTATGTTCAGTGGGGTGATGTTGTTGTCAGTGTCTGATTAAGTGTATTTTTGATCACCACAGAATCGGATATATGTGAGACTGGTCAGCCAGTCACCGGTCATGGCCAATCAAACCGAAAACTGGCTGATTCCAATTGCCAGCCGGTCAAGCTCTAGTCAGGATGCTGAAGATGAGAGGATGCAGAATGCAGTGTCATGTTTAGTTCATCTCTCACAGCCTGACTCTGTATATAGAATTTTTAATGCGTGCTGCCAGTAAGACGGGTGTTTAAGGCTATAGACTCCTGTACCAGCAATTGAATATTCTGGTCTAGGGTAGTCACATCCATTTTTCACTGGAAGGTTTGTGGTGTGTTTTCATATACTGTATGAGCATGTGTGCTACATCCTGTCTACACAAATGTTTGCATATTTTATCTAGTGGAATCGATGCTTACCTCTCTCTGTTGAATTTGAGTGAATGGAGGACAGCCGGCCGCCTCTGACGCAGGTTCCACAAGTGTAGCGTGTCATCTGCACAGGCTGTGACCAACGCTCCCTAAAGTACAAAGAAAGAAAAAGGAATATCAGTACTGAATCATTTCAGGGACACAGAGGACACCTTGCCTTTTGGATTTAACACAAATCCTGTAGTGCTGATAGACAAGACTGTGAAAGATTGGACAAACTGCAAACAACACAGTAGATTTGAGGAGCAAGGCACTGAAGACGAACACATCCAAAGCGAATATTTGGCAACAATAACATGACGTAAGTAGAATAGCACACATGTAAAAGATAAAATAGCTAAAATGAAACAATTAGCATAATAATGCATTCTTCCAAAAGAAGGAAGCTCAGTCATCATATGAAACTGAAGGAAAACTGAGAGGAAAATGACAAATCAGTTTCAAATGATGTCAGCTGGTTTCAGCCCTACTTCTGAGGACAGCAAATTGTAATTTCAGTGTAATTCCAAATGCGGTTTTGCTACCAGGGCGTCGCTTTAAACACTGGAGCCCAGGGAGAATTAGCTTTAGATTATAAATTTAATCATGGGATTAAAGACTGTACAGCGCCAGGGAGGATGAAAACATTGCTTCCCACTGTTTTCCATATTGGTGAATGTTTTCCCTTCACTCTCCATGGAGAAAAATATTTGTTGCACAATCTCTGTTATTTAAAGGTAAATATTAAACAGAGAGATGTAATGCTAACCAGGCTGAACACACACACACACACACACACACACACACACACACACACACACACTTGTCTATAATTATCTCCTGTAGCTGTTCAAATGCTAGCCATACATTTGATCATCTTTGATGAAAGAAAGATCAATTACAGTCAGATAAAAAAGTCTTATATTACTATTGTCTGGTAAAAAAAAAAATCTTCTGCCCTGCCCAGGATCTAAATAAGAATGAATGACTGTAACTTTTAAGCTCCAAATTTTCAAAGTGATAAATGAAGGCCTGTTCAAGACAAATCATTTATCTTCCTGAAACAAATCAACAGAGAAGAAATAATTAATCAAACAACATAATTATTTGAGCATTTATCGCCTACTACCCCCTAGTTTGTTTGGCACCCTCTCTCCATGTAAAAGGTTATGTTGCTGCTTATCTGTGTCAACTTTGACTGATGGGGGATCGATGATGATGATAACCTGGCGCGTTCATAAAATTATACTGGATATGATTGTGTTTTCTTTCTTTGTTTTTCTTTCTTACATAATCTTACCTTATCAAGACTATGCTTCTGCCTCATCTTGTCATGTAATATAATTGCACCCTGCTGGGATTAAAAGTATTTCATTTTAGTGGGATTATTAAATTCCCATTAGCTTGTGCTCCACTTTACCCTAAATGTGTAAACATTCATGAAGAAGGTAATTTATTTTTTTGGGTTCATCTCTCTGTTTCTGGTGGCATTTACTTATATGAAGCTCATTTGATTAATGATGTCTCAAGGTGTTGTTGGTTTGTCTCATTATTTCTTTCTAACGTACTGGCACTTATTTATTCTCAATCACAGTTTTTCTTGGTCTGACATTGAGATGACAATTTTGTGTGTATTTAGGTGGCGTATAATTTGTCTTTATCTTATCCTCATTTCATTTAATAAGCCATTCTGCAACTCATATTTATCCAGACATCACATTCTTTGCACAAATTTAGTCAGATAGTATTTGCTTGACTTGTAGCTGCAACTGTTCTACTTTTTTTTACTATTGACACAATAAATTCATTTCTACACTATGTTTCTATTTCTCTATTTGTCTCTATTCTATAATTTATTTTTATCTAGCAAACTGATCATCTCAAATGCAAGTACTATAGACTGGACATTAAACAAAGTACTGAAAGATATTTAATGATTCACTGAGCTGTGTGCTACCTGCTGGTTGAAGCTTACACAACATACGGAGGTTTACAAAGGAGAGATAAATCTAACGGAGCTGAGAGATGATGTGATGGACCTAAATAGAGATAATTCAGCACAGACTTGCTAGCCTTACTCAACATCAAGTTCCATAATCCTTTCTGTCACTTCTATAGAACCACTAATCACTTCACAAACACAAAAGGATCATTTTGGAGATTGAAGCATGCATAGGAGGAGAGAGTGAAATGGAGTGAGAGGAGGTGGAGCAGCAGCTAATGAAGAAATCATATCAGATGGGGAGAAGAGAGAACAGGAGAGGCAAACAGGGTGAGAGCCGGGTCTGCAACTCCATTATGGTATAATTTTCTTGACGTCTTGATGGCAACACAGGCAAGACAACCAGGTGCAGTTACAGTACACTTTACCCTGTATCTCATGATTTCTGCCGATTTTTATATTTGTTTTAAGGTATACATTCACCAATAAATATCTCTCTGCTGACCCATCCTTCCTCCCTCAGCACGACTGAGGGAGGAAGGATCTTTTTTTCTTCCCCACCACTAAACCTCATCTGATACCAACTTTCAGCAGCCCCCTCAGCCTCTTTAGATGTATTATTCATCACGCAAAGTAATGAATTCAGAATAGGCAAACAAACGCATTAATTAGCCTATTCATACCCTCCACATTGTGGCAGAAAAAAAAAATCTCTCCTCACATAAAATATCGAGAGAGGCTTACACGGATAACATTGTATGAGATTATGACTGCATAATAAACCCGTTGGTGACTAGATATGAATTACGTGACTAAAGTGTGATATAGAGACGAGAGAAACAAAGCTTAACATTCACAGGAACCTGCAAGTTCATATGTCTAATGTGAGTAAATCTTTACACCTTACACACATTGAATCCAAGAGAGGGCACTGACATACAGCACTGCTATTAGCCAACCTGTCAAACGACGCAAAGACCGACAGTAGTCACTGTGAGGGGTGTGTATGCACACATGTAGCACACAAACACACACTCCTATTTGCACATGCACAAACAAAACTATAAACACACACACACACACATAACATACAACACAAGTCACTAAGTCTCAAACCCATACACACATACTGATCCACACACAAAGTTAATACCTGTCTGTCTCTCTCACACACACACACACACACACACACACACACACACACACACCCTTCGTCAGACCCATCCACATCTATTTGCCTCAGACACATCACAAGTAGGCCAATGAGTGATGGAGAAGTGGGCTGAAAGAGCCAGTGGGCTTAAAAAGAAATAGAGTGGGTACAGAAAAAAAGCAGAGCGGCAGGAAGAACACACAGATTACAGCAGAATAAAGGAGAAACAAGAAAGCGTAACACAGAGGGGAGAGACAGCTCTGTGTTCCAGATCCGTGTGACTTGGCTTCTGCTCTTTAACATAAGGACCCCTGTATTTCTATAATACACCTACAGTATTGTGTTAGTAAACAAAATATAGCATTAAACTGGAGCGCACTGACGAAGCTCCTCCTAAAGTCTTAAAACAAACCACTTGACGCAGAGCACTGCCATGTGTCAGCCCACACAGTGCTAGTCTGTCAGGAGAAAAGCAGACAGTGAGGGAAAACAGTTTTAAAGGCAAAGAGGACGAACTCTGTGTATTTGAGCAAATAATGATCGTAACATTCCTTTAATTTAAGTGGTTCACTGTGCAGTGTTTATTCTCCTGTGTTCTCTATGTCATCAGCTCCTCCACATGAAACAACCGTGATTTTATAACTGATTTAGTAAACCACTCCATAGGATTGGATGCCAAAAGGTCTCTACCCAAATACGTCAATATGTGCTTTCAAAGACATGGATTTCTTTCTCAAGTTCACCCTTCTATTAACTGAGTAAAATCCATCCACTGAATTTCAAACCAAAGCCCGCTACAGTCAAGAACAATAACACTGATGTGAAACTGAACGCATCACTCATGCAGTCACATGAGATTGTTCCCAGGGTGCACCGAGATTATAATTTTCTGATTTTCAAATCTGCTTTCTAGCAACCCATGTCTGTCCCCGCTCACTAAGTGCTTTCCAACAGGTGAATTGAGATATTTCCTACTGATACAACTTGATTTCTGGCAACTGTTTCCCACTGAACAATATAAAACCTCAGTCACATCTTCTGACTTAAATTCTGATTTAAGTGATAAGTGATCATATGGTCTCCATTTTACAATCTAACTCTGCAGCAATTACCATAATTTTACACTGATAGACCTCTAACAGAGACCAGAAAGAATTGTAACAGCAGAAACTGTAACTGCAGAACTTGCTTCACAATTAAGTCCTCTGTGAGATGCTGTTTTTGCTTTATTTGTTCAATGAATTTCAGGTGTTAGATATTGGAGGACACTAAGCCTGGGATTATTTATTATCAACAAATCCCATAAAATAAGAAATAATGACTGCACAATTAATGAAAGCTACTAACATGCAGCTACAGAGTCATAATTCCAATCTACTATCCATTCAATTAATTCAACCCCACTGTCATCCAAAAACTATTGAAAAGGGTAATTATCATCATCATTATGGTCATCAGCAAAATCCAAAATAATAAGCTTTGATTAAGACGACTGATCCAAGGTTGTTGGTAACATGGTTAAGATCATTCATTCAAAATCCAATAAACTCTAAAATTCAGGCAAACACAAACACTTCAGGACAGTCAATCAGATTTTTAAAAACACAGCTTTAAGACCGGATTGTAATGGAGTCTGTCTTACCTCATTGATGAGGAACTGCAGTTGAAGAACAGCTGCTCCGCTCTCATGTTGACAATAGCAGTCCACCCCAGGTCGTCCCAGTCTGATGGCATCACAGAGTCAAGGAAGTGTGTACAAAAATGCACTATGGATATATCAACACAACACAGCCAAAAAAGTAAATATCTGTATGTTTCTTTAAGAGTGAGAGGCAACATCCAATCAACACTTATGTAGGTATTTTACTGTTACGGCCAGTGCCCAAAAATAGGTTTCTTCACCTGCTATAATGTACAGTCCCTGGATTTAAATATTTACTCTGGTCTTTTCTATGTTATTGATTTCATCAGCTTCTCAATGTGAAACAAGCCTTGAACAAAAAATGATATATTATTTTGTGAGGGTGTATGTGCACCAACTGTAATTGCACAGAAGCTGAAGTAGTGCCGAATGCTACAGCAACTTGTGTATAACAAGGCAGGTAATGTCAAAGGCAATGTCAAATGGAGTCATAAAGGATGACTGGATTTGAAAAAAAAAGTGGATTGTGCCGTTTGATGATTGCTGACACACTACCAACTGAGCCTCTACTCCCACCCCAGGGCATTCAAGTTCACAGTGAAACATCCACACAAGCACAGGTGAGGTGCTGTGTGTGCCTGGCTTTCTACTTCACCAGTGCAAAGGTTTCATGTCATCCAATTTACAGAAATAGATGTCTTTTAAATTTCAACCTTTAAATTTAATTCCTTGATGCTCTTATAATAAATGTGTTTTTATTTTGTTCACGTTTGTGCTTTTATTTTGTTCATGTTTTTTCATCAGACTAAATATTAGAAAACACCTTTCAGTGTAATGCAATACAATAAAACAGCTCCACAAACTACAGCCTCCAAAGTGAGCATTATTTGAACCAGCACATCTCTTAAAACAGTTATTCCCTTGCTGTTGTTGTTTTTCAGGCCTGTTAGTTGGTCTTTGAAATGCATGTGGCTAATCAGGCTAATTAGAGTTTTATTGTGGTATCATGTCATAACTTTAACGCTAAGTAGACATATGTACGTGTGTGGGGAAACCTAAAGGTAAGCCTAGCAGACAGGCGGCTCTTGTTCGCGCTATGAAATATAGTCCTGCTGGCGCCACTGACCAGGCCCAGTCATGTTCAAAATAAATAATCTGGCATTTGACATTACAAAAAACTAACAGATTAGATGTAAAAAAATAACGTCTGTCTCATTAAATTTAGAACAAACATAAAGTACACTAGTATTCTGTAAAGGGCAAGCTCAGAAATGCAAGTAGCGTATCTCACACATGTTGTCAAGAGCAGCGGAGCTTAATTAGTTGTGTTAGAGGGTAAGTAAATAAATAAAGTTCACACCAACAAATAACACTTTCAGTATATTACATGTGCAACATAATTGTAAGACTATCTGTATAAGATTTCCATCAGATAGGCGTACATCTGGTTAGGGTGTGCTATCCAATGAACACACTCTAAGGCTACTTTTACATTTTTTTTAAATGTAACGTGACCTGGAAGCCCTAGGAAAGAATTCCACTATAAAAAAATGAAACACTGAACTGCTATGTGTGATTGGTGGTAACACGGACCAACTGGGCTTTAATCTGTCCAGCAAATAAGCAGTGCAAACTAACAGCATAAATAATACATTTACTGCACACTCTCAAAAACTGACAGATGGCGATTTAACCACTGGTTGATTTTGTTATTCCATCATGTCCTTTATCCATTTCTAGTCATTTCCTTATGCGCAATAAACAACACATTCTAACTTTATATCCATGCTGAAATATACAGTGTGTACAGGAATAGTTCTGTGATCAGCAAATAAATCTACATGCAGTTTGTTTAAAGTATGGTAACCAGAGGAAGCAAAATCACCAAGCACATCCCTCAATGCAGGTGGAAATCAGCAGGAGGGGGACATGACACAACATGAAAACAGAGCCAATTGGATCTGGTTCAGGAGGAGTTATTTAATCACTACAGGTTGTTCAGAATTCAACCCTGTTGCCAATGTTGCTCAAGGTACAGCACAGATCCACATATGAGCAGTTCGGCAGTAAACAAAACGACCCTGTTGAGTCTGACCATTAATCAACTTTTAATTATTAGCTTTTAATTTATCTTTTTGTGTACAGACCTAAACCCCTTTATCTATTCATTCCAGTCATGATGCTGTGGTAGTTTGAACCAATAATAGGTAATTGGGTATCTCCGTATAAAGCTGCCAACTTTGTGGATTGTTGTAAGCCAAGCCAAGGCATAAAAAGTACTGTCTGTATGTTTGTCAGTTTGGTCTGTTTCAGTTTCCTTCTGTGTTATAATGTTGTTTCACATTATAAAAATATCATTATTTGTAATTCAAGCTGTTTTACTCAGTGACATGGTTCTTCTTATTATTATTGTTATGTCTTCAAAAATCAGGTGGATAGGCTTTCACTTTCTTCTACCCATATTGGCATAACCTTTACTTCCAGTGGACAGTTTTTATGCTACATCTCATGACTGTATGCAAGTGTTAAATGTGATAAAGTTCCTATACGAACCACATGATGTGGCTAGTTTGTAACCCCCTTCTTCTCCAGAGATTTCTATCTATCTCACTTCGCATTAACGGCTACTCACAACACCTTGCAGTTCAAGGCAACCGTACCATGTATGAGCCACAATCAAATATTTGTTCAGTTGTCTGACAGTGAAAAAATAGAGGAATATGAATATGAGTCAGAATGGAGAGTAGGAGGCTTCAGAACATAAGTGAAGTGTAACTACTGTTTTAATGTTGCACAAGTGCAAGTATTGCCAAACTCTACTCAGTAGAATTCCAATACATCAACCTTTACTTACTGTTGATATGGGAGTTCCAGATTAATAGTAATAATTTGAGACTGAACCAATATTGGCTATTTTGCCTGTTAGTTTTAGGCTGGTGCCCCTGAGGACTTTAATTCATTTTAAAGTTATTATTTAATTTATAATTTTTTTATATTAATATTTTCTAAATATATGATAACCAATAAATTGATGAACAACCGAAGGTCAAACTTATGGTGTCCTGCTCGTGAGGCAGAGCTCAGACCCAACATCATAAATTAGACAAACATAACTAAATGATAAATGCACATAACATTTGGATTTCAAACACCCAACACTAGTTATGTTCAGTAATGTTGTACATAGCAGATATGTTAGTGAATTCAATCAGAACTTCAACAGATTGATAGCATGCAGAGTGAGCACATCTCATTTCAGATTCACAATGCACTCTGAAACCAACAAGGCAGAAATTTTCAGACTGTCTTGCTAGACTGACTTATCACATCTACAACAGCAGCAGCAGCAGCACCCACGGACTCTGATATGGTGAATTGTTGAACCAGGCTGCTGATCTCAGATGCACTGGGGAAGAAGGACTCTGACAGTTCAGGTTCAAAATGCTCATGAGTTTCAGTCTTGTGTCAAAATCACTTTTAACTTCTGTAAAAAAATAAAATATATAATAATAAACAAGTATGCAACAAGTATTTCTTATGGCTGTACTTGTTTTTATTCTGAGGACCTGTTCTGGACACATTTTGGGTTTGGGTCCGTATTACATGAATACATGTAATATACATGTATTACAAATACATTGCAGGCAACCATATCCATGCGTCAGCTGTTTCAGCCAGTGTAGGTTCTATCAGATTTGAAATTAATCAATATGTTTACTTTATGTTACTGGGAAACCACAATCCCCTGTAATGAAATTCCAAAAGATTGAAGAAGGCAGGCCAAGACCAAACTCCATGAAAATGAGAAGGTTTCAGAGAAAACACAGAGCATCAAATAGAAATTCTCCAATTGATTTCTTCCCCGTCTCTCCATCTGTCATGTCTTTTTCATTCCCTCTCATTCAAATCATCCGAACCACATCAGTGAGAAAAACATGGCGAAAAAAAGAGACCTGCACTCATGCATGCACCCACGTTGAGCCACCAAACTGAAAGAAATCAGGCCTGTCCATTTGGTTACACAGTATATATGTATTTCTCCTCTGAATACTCACACAGCTGGTGACTACCAGCAGGAAAGCTTAAATAAAAAAAAGAGGCCGTTGTTTGTGAGTGTCTTATAAAGTTTCAGTCTTGAAAGTGTGAGTGAGGCCTGCCTTATATGACACAAGCCTACACTGGTGTAATTTTCTGCATCACAATCACAATCATTTGAAAGATGCTAAATAATAACATGAAAATTCAACACGTAGGAGACTGAATCTGTTCTGGCCTCCAAAGTGGTGGATGTATCAGTCAAATTATGGCAGAGACTTTTGTAATACATTACAATGCACTGACCATTGCTTAGTCCATTCACTCAACAAAGAGGAACCGGTGCATGTGTGTGAGATTCAAGGGCTGCCTTGAAAGGGAATGGTTCGCGACTGACTTAAATCATCTCTCTGTCAGTCTGCATCATTGTCTCCCTGACAGGCAAGTCTTTGTACACAACCTATTCAAATTCACATCACACTTGGGACCAACATCAAAACACATAAGATGCTGTCAAAACACAAAGCTGACGTGAAGGTGAAGTCGCCTACATCCATACAGGAGACAAACACTGTATTATTGCTAGCTGACAGGAGAGAACGCCAATGAGAAATTGTCGGAGCCGTCTGCTGTATTTGGTGATTTCTGCTTGGAAAACCAATAAGTGACAGCAAATGAAAGTTATGAAATGAAATTACAACATATGTTTTTTTTTAACAGCTTCCTTTGGTGTGAACAGCTGATGAGGCAAACCAGTGTATATATCTTTGATCACAGAACAGCTGTGTCGCACACACAACTGCACATGTACACAAGAAGACACACAAAGAAGATGTCTGTTGATGCAACTAGAGTCGTGAGATTTTAAAGGAAAGGCGGAGAGGGGGCGAATTTATTGTCAAAAGAAATGTTCAATAACTTAGTGATGTGAAATGACTCCAGTCATGTTCAGTACTGCAAATCAAATAAATCAGCTTTCCTCATCTTTATCCTCTTTTTATCCTCCTTGTGTACACCTCTTAGTGGAAGACGCACAGAAAGAAACAT